TTTGAACAACAAAAAGAATTTTACTCACTGAAGAGGCAAGTTAACTCGCCACAGTAGTTACCGAAATATAGGTCGAGTATTAAAGTCAAAGTCTGTTACCACTTAACTAGCCGTGTCAACCATGAAAACTGTGAATTAACAAAAATATCCTTGTAAATAAGTTTTAGATGCACAGTATTGTAAAGTTAAAATAGACTTATTAATTTCAATGCCAAATAATGTAACGTCTTTAAACAAAATTGACACTATAGCTACTCTGTTATTGTCACTGCATAATCATAATCTTTTTTCGGAACTCGTCGATAAGAAGTATTCTTTGAAGTTACCATGAATATAAATTGAATAGCCCTTGCTTACTTTTGTTTTTGGTGTATTCATTTTGTGGTATATTCATTAGTACATCCATATTTATTTTTGGTTGAAATAAAAAGGGGTAAATTTAGATTATTAAAGAATAATCATTAAATTACCGCGATACATTGAGTTGAAATGTCGCATGACGTCACGCTTTTGTACATTTGCCATAAAACTGTGTCGTAGCGAACCCCCACTCCTCAACTTTAATGCCTATTATTTAAGTCATTGGTTGACTTAAGTTCGCGAATTTTTGCTAAGCTTTGAGCCGTTTGAGGTATCTAGAGGGACTAATAATCAGTATTTTAGACCACCGCAAGTTGCTTAAGAATCCTCACGATATAAACTCCCTCGATAAAATGACAAGGTTGCGAAATTTACCGGGTAAAAACAAAAAAAATATTATAAAAAACATAAAACCCGACAGCGTGTAAACAAAAGAAAAGGAAGAAGTGCAAAAAAATACTTAAAAATAAAAAATAAATAACAAGCCCCGTAGTTTGGAAATGTTATTAAGTAAATAAAAATTCAAAAGCAGAATAGAAGGATCAACAGACAGGACCCATTCCTTTTTGACCAATCAACGGAGCCACGTATAATTTGAATGGATCCCGACTGGTGATCCTTCTAATCTGCTTTTAAATTTATGATATGTTTTATGTGTGTATATATTTTTAAACTGTTTCTATAGAGCAGTTATTCAGTAGTACTATAAAGTTTCCAAAGTACTGACTAAATAGAATTTCTTTTTTTTACCCAGTCGTCATCCCTATTGTGTAATTTTCTCCGTCCAATGATACATATAATTGGTGGAAAATTAACATATCCTTTATGTAACCAACAAATTCAATGAAATAAATTATGTACTAATTTATTTCAAGACAATTGTGAGTAATTAATTAGCATATTTATAATAGTTCTTTTAAACTATATTTTTGTTTTAAATACTCTTATTTTCTTTCGATTAAAAAAATCTTTTACTGGAACAACTTTAAAAATATTATACAGCAATGAACAATCTACTAAAAAGCGATATGTCCTAACGTAAACAATAACTATACTATGAGAAAGCTTAGTTATTTTCGGGCTATTAATTATTATTTTCTTTATGGCAGAAAGTATTATTTAAATGATACATTTTAGAGGTGTACCTCTTAAATATCTAATGCTACTAATCTAGGTATCTTGTTTAGGACAAAGTAGTTCAGTATTATTTTCTTTGTGGCAGTTTTTTTTTATTATTTTTATACTTAATATCTCGTAGATTCATCTAAAATTTATATTATAATTTATTATCATTTAGGTCACTTTTATGTTTTGTTATAATGTTTACCTTGAACTGTTTGCGAAATTACGCATCTGCACCACACCTAGTATTTGACGCGCAATGTTGCGTGTCTTTTAATAATTCTAGGCATATCATACCTGGCTTTTTAAAAGCACTTTAATACAAGTTTAAATGACCTAAATTTTTGAACTGATTGTTGATTCTGTGCTTTTTGTTGATAAATCTTGTGACGGGTTCACTGCTTAGGCAAATGAGTAAAAGGCTGACTAAGCTTGAGAACTTGAATTGAACAATAAAAAAAATCTTTTTCTTCGGGTTTGATGAGTAATTTACATTTATTATATTTTTTTAAGTTCAAAATCGTGAACATAATGGAAACAGGTTATAATAAATTAATTTCAACCCTTTTTACAACAAATTGCTATTGATTGAAATTAAGTATGTGAAAATTCGTCGAGTTAGACAAATATGTCTAACTCGACGAATTTTCACGAATTGACATTCATAAAGTGCATATAGAATTACTCAGAATTTCAAATAACGAAAAGTGAATAATGAAAATAAATGATGTTGAAGCTCAAAGACAAAAAGATTGCATGCGGATATATTGGACGAAATAAACGGTGGTACGACGCACCGTTACAATCTCTCTTATCAACTGTGTTAAGGCTTACACAATATTATTACAAGTAATTATAGGTGTACTAGAATCTGACGGCATTTCGGGAAATTTTTCTTTTTTTTTTGCCTTAAGATTCTTGTACACCTATACATCTTATATAATTACATATTCAGAGTCATACGAGTATATTAACTTTTAAATCTAAAAAGAAAATTATTTTTTTAAATTCTTGTATGCAAAAGATTTTGGCAACGACAACAATAAATCGAGCTAACTAGGGCTCATTTACAAAAACAATACCAAGCAAAGGTCGGTCATCCAGTTTTTTGTCTTTATTCAAACTTTTAGTTCTTTAAATTATGAGAAATAACCCCACAGTATTCAATAAAAATATATATTAACAAATCTACAACAATTTTGAAATATAATTATTAAATCTCTCAAAACAGTTGGAACTTATTTCTGCTGATATATAAATCAGACGCCACATAATAAACTATCTTAACAAAAAAAAATCTTTATAAGAATATGACGGGGCATTATTGTAGAAATGTATTATTATTTACAGGTGTTTTGTTTACTACTTTCCTCAAAGATACGCATAGAAAAACCTGGATTCACATCCTGTTCGTTAATGGTTTTATACTTCTGTGATTCTTTCCTGTATCCATCAAGATTAATACAATGATGTCTCGCTAAATCAATGATGATAAACATTTCTGTTTATAATCATTTCGTATGCTCGTAACAAGAACTAGTACTTCAAATAAGAAAATGTAAAAACTTCATGGGTATGCCGTTATTATGTTAACAGAACTGAGGCCAATAAAACCAGGGGGCCAATTCTACTATTTTTTTTTTCAATAGAATCGAAATCGGATCGACCCCGAACGAAACTACAGTTTTTAATAATTGTTCTATTCTTCTAAGTGACATACGATACAATTCCAGCTAAAATAGAACTGGAATCGTATCGTATGTAACTTTGTATAGGAAAACCATTAAAAACTGTAGTTTCGTTCGGTTTCGATCCCTTTTCGATTCGATTTAAACAAAATTTATTTAGTAGAATTGGCCCCCAGAGCACTATCTTTCAGACCAGTATTTTTTAAACTTTTCCAATACACGATAAAGGGGTCGGAAAGCTTAAAAAGGTCTAAAACTAAACATCTAGCGACCCCCTTGGGACATACAAAAACAAAAAATGCAATAAGTGTAATTATAACGTGTATAACTTAAAACCTTGTTAACAATGTAACAATGTTCTTTATTTAGGTACCTATTATTAAGTCGTCAATTTTTCAAAAAGATCAACATGATCTGATAAATTATTAACAGATAAACAAGTCGATCTTTGTCACAAAGATTTTGTTTTGCTATAGTGTACCAAATAGAACCTTGACATTTTTCTTTTGCCGTTAACCCCATGAGTATATCTCCAGGATCCCTGAGTATATCACAAATTGAAAAATACTGCTTTAGACGTTTCGTGTGAAAAATATATTTGATGCTCTTTAAATTAGTAGTGCTTACATCAAACGCCATATAGCTATTCCAATAATAGTTCGGAGTATTTTAACCATTTTTCTATGAGGGTATTAAATAATGTAGCATTATACATACAAAATTGATCAAATATAATAAAATAACACTTGTTGGATTATCAAAATCATTATCGTGTTTATTTTGTTGTATCAAATCTCACATTACCATTTATTATATCTATGGTCATTTTTTTGCTTACTGACATCAGGCTCTATACTTATACTATCTTATTATAAAACGAGGACCAACTATATCTGATCAAATTAAGTCACAGGTGTTAATTGGACTTTTTCTCTTTTGTCGTTGTCAATTTTCTTTAGGAGACCAACGGTTTAAACCTAGTACCTACTAACTTTAGTTCTCTGTATTTATAAGACTGCTAAAATGTAAATATCGTTAATTTATTACTTCTAACTTAGATATTTTAGTGACGTTGAGTGATTACTCGATGAAATTAACGAAAACCAAAGATTGGTCTTGAGACGAGAGCATATTCAGTCTCTTTAGCGCGATGGGGAAATTATTTTAATTAAACAAACAATTTAACAGATAGGTATTCGTACTAGTTTGTAGGAGAGATCTAACACATGCACCTCGTACTAGTTTGTAGGAGAGATCTAACACATGCACCTCTTTAATACGCTATATATTTATTGATGATTTAGTCGAAGTATATGTCAGTGGTCGTTTAGTGTTTCGCCAGTGGTAATCAGCACGACTGATGGCTGCTTCCCGCTCTTTGTTAACCAATCACCTATATGCGTGTAAAAAACATTGAAACGTGAACACGGCCATTTTGTCACATTTATATTTACTTGTTCATTAGGACATAGCAATGCAATGCAAAATCGAGATTGGCTGCTGCCTATACTCTTAATTATTGTGAGAATTTTACTATAACCAAGAAGTATACATAAATAATGAGAACGAAATATATTTTTGCTGAAAAATGTAATTTTTGACCCTTTAAAGCTCTCTACTATTTCCGGGCAAAAAAAAATCATACACTAACGACGCTTTTTAGAAAACGTGCTTATTACAATACTATGAATAACTTAACTTTGCTGTGAATGAAGATATATTCACATGTACACGAGCAACAAAATAATTACTATGTTATAATTTTAATGTGACATGCAATAAATGATTTGATTTGATTTGATTTCTAAATATCATTTTTCTTCGTTACAGACGAGCTCAACGCCGTTGGAAGCGAAAAACAACCCAGTGAAGTCGTATTAATAGTTCGCGCCGCCGACATCCACCGCCGCCCGCCCGCATAGGATGGTAGAAACTGACCCCGGGCCCAAGAAACCTCACAGTAAGTAAATATACAAGGAAAAAAATGGAAACGATCGAAAATATACATATTACTGGTACGTAATATATATGTTTTTGTGATCGTTAGATTGAGACAAACTATGTCTAGGTGTTTATTTTTACTAACACCGGAGATAAAGAAAAATATGGCTTTAAACACGTTTTACATACTGTACCTGAAGGTTGATGACTGATTTTGAGGATATAATTACATTTTGTTAAAATAATCTTAAATAAATAATCAATTACCTAATACATGAAAAATTAAAGTAATAAAAAAATTATATCTCCTATTACAAATACTAGCGTAATAACAAAATGATTGCCCACTGATTGAAAAATTGTCCTGTTCCACCCTATAATATATATCATATTTGGTGGCCTTCAGTATAAGAGTTAGTTATAATCTAATCTAAACTATGCCCATAAAACTTATTATTTAGCTGAGCACACAGAAAAATACCAATTAATACAAGGCCTATTCTAGCCTCTTCTTTCCACATACGTGTGAATATTACTAAGCATTTTTAGTACGTCTATATCTGTTATTATTAGTCTCTGAGTCATATGAGAATGAATATCTACATAAATCATCATAGACATATTTTCTAATAGCTACTTGTTGTCTGTAAACTGACGTTCTTTTTTGATCGCCCGAAATCATTACGTTACCTACTTGACAATTTTATACTGTGATAAAAAATATTATATTTACTTTCAAATACGGAAATTTAGAGATTATACTCGTATTAAGATATATTAATATTAATCGCCTGACTTTTATGTAAGTTCAGTTTTCACTTTTTAAGCTTTTTTGAAGTCTTGTTTTTTTATATTCTTAGTGTTTGCTTAGGATTTACTTTTGTGCAGGGTACTCGCCATGCGAACATACCCGTTTCTGTGGCACTTTATCTTAACCACTCTAATAATTACGTTGTTCTTCCTACGAGAAAATGTCTGTCAAAATGATCTTTTATATAGTATATTACTTTTTATTTCCAGATTGTGATGTAAAAAGGGACCACCAGTTGAACGGACCAAGCTCCAAAGCAACTGAACTTGGTAAGTTTTTGTTAGAGACTTTAATTTTCATATTTAATGAAAACACGCAAAAAACATTAGACTGTCGTCACTTACAGGTTAATAACCTTTTCTTTAGAATTTGTAACATGTTAATTATATATCAAAACTTGTTATTTTGTTGATAAAGTACCTATTCAATTTTGTTGTATTAATTTTTTCTTATGGAAAAAACACTTGAATAATTCAACTGGCTTGGCAACACGTGATACGTCTGAAGGTATATTTGACCTTCAGACGTTTTATTATGTAAACAACATTAATAATAATTATTAATTTAAGAAGATTTTCCCAAAGATATATATTCGCTTAAAAAAAAAACAAAAAGTGGTTCCGTGTTTATGTAGTCGAATTGCATCTATTTCGAAGTCAAATTTTGCTGTTATCTATTTAATTATGTTCCATTCATAGGGAAGGCATATGCCCCAGCTGTGGCGACATTAAATGATGATGAATCGTATTTGTTTGTGACGTTTAATTAAAAATAATTTTCGATACTCTATTTCGCACAATACGCCATTCTCTGTCCTTGTCTATCTCATTGAGAGACGCGTTGATTTCATCTTATTTTTCCTTTTGTATTAAGGCGCAGTCATAACACGTTTACATATTTTTCTATCCTAACTTCACTTACTTGTAAGTTGTAGAACTTCATACCTAATGATTGTAACATTAACAACAATTACTGCTGTTTTGACAATTGATATTTTTTCTATAGATATAGTGATATTTCAACGTACAAAAAGTAGAAAAAATATTTAAGGCACTATTAATATTTATTTGGGGTATCCCCCAGGGAAGCGTCTTTTCATACTCTCATATGCACTAACATTCTACACATACAGTAAGAATGATAAGAATGCATACTATTTAATTTAATTCTAAATTTGAATTATATAAATATGTGAAGTGGAACGTTTTTTTTATACAATGAAGGTGGGCGTTTGTGGCTGCAACGCAGTTTTTAAACTAAAGCGGCTGCTTTCGTACACGATATTACCTGTAAAGTGTAAATTTCCAATAAAACATTATTATTATTATTTATTCATGTTATTATCAAAGACTGAAGCAACTTCAAAACAAAACGGAAGTAGTTCTCATTCATATACATATATAAGATGAATGAGTACGTACCTATATTTTTGAAATTCGAACCGATCTTAATGGAGATACTTTTTATTAGGTCCTTATATATGAAATTGGTGTTTGGTATGGGAGGAACAGAAAGTCGAATATTTTTTAATATAATATATTTATTTAATCAAAGTATAAAACATTGTTATCTATGCGCTTTTGCCATCTCATAGGTAGTTCATTGATCCCCTTACTAAAAAAACCATTCGGACGGGAATCAATAAAATCTTTGAAGGCGATTTGCACTGCCCCATCGGAGTTTAATTTTTTCCTTTGAAAGAAGTTATCCAAATTTCGAAACAGATTACCATCTGTTGGAGCAAGGTCCGGGGAATACGGTGGATGTCTTAGACGTTCCAATTGAAGCTCTCCTATTTTAGTAGCCGTCTGTTGTGCAGTGTGTGGTCTAGCGTTGTAGTGTGAAGTAGCAGTTGCGTAGAGCGATTGACCAGCCTCGCTTGTTTAACAGCTAGTTTTCCAGCATGGTTTGCAATTGCTGACAATAGATGTTTGCCGTAATCGTTTGGCCAGATTTGAGAAAACTATAATGAACGACACCGGCACTAGTCCACCAAACTCTTACAAGTAACTGTTTTTGGGTCAATTTTAGCTTGGGGCAGGATTTGGCTGGCATGTCAGGGTCCAACCATTGCGATGAGCGCTTCCGATTATCGTATAGAATCCACTTTTCATCACAGGTAATATTTGGATTTAAATCCTTCATTATTGTGCCGGTTAAGTAATTTGCTGGTTTGTTTCACTCAATTGGTGAGATACCCACCTTTCAAGCTTTTTAATCTTTCCAATTTGCTTCAAGTGGATTAAATGCTGATATGTGTCGTAAATAAATAAAAACAGTTTTATAACTATCACCGCAGCCTGCAGCTAACTCGGACGTGGTTTGCCATGGATCCGCTTCCATAATAGCCTTCAATTCTTCATTATTAACTTGGGTCTCCGGCCGTCCACGGGACTTGTTCTGCAGGTCGAAATTTCCAGAACGAAAACGTTGGAACCAAAAACGCTTTGTGTTTACTTTTGCGACACAACCGCCATACTCATCATTAACCCTTCGAGCCGTTTCCGCAGCACTGGTACCACGGTGGAATTCGTACTCGTAAATAACGCGACATTTCAGGACAAACAGAAGAAAAAAAAAAACAAATGAATGCCGCCTAACGAAACATAAATACATGTGTAAATGGCTGTATTAATTTGAATTTGGAATTCCCAACCAAGGAGGAGAAATTTATGATTAAAGTGGCCAGTACAACAAAACGCCAATTTCATATGTAAAGAACTAATATGTAGGCAAAGGTTGTAATAACAGAACACAGAAAAGCGGTAAAGGGTTTTCTAAAATTAGATCTTAATTACCAAATGTTTGACATGTAACTTAAATTGATATCTACGTTATCGAATTATTGTTTTAAGCATAATACATAATAGATAACATATAGGGTTTTTGGATTACTACCGAATGTGGGATAGTTCCGAAAATGACGAATGACCACCAAATCAAGCGTTGTTTTTTATAAACTGTTGATAAAGTTGACAAAAAAAACTTCTAACAGATGAAAAAACTTTAAATTTGAACAAGCATATTGTTTGTACATATATAACAAATCATACCGATATTATACCTATATTGTCAATCTTTGAATATCTATCCTAGCTATGAACTATATTAGTGTCAATTTTCCCGAAAATCTGCCAAGTCATTTTCGGTTAGGTAAAGCGCTAGCAAAATTATAAAAACACACAAATGTTTACATTTTTAATATAATTGTAGGATATTAGTAGGAGACATCAGTAAATTCTTTTTGAAAATTTATATTATATGTTTTTATTGCAGGTGTCATTCCCTCGCTGAAGAAACCAGCAAAGGGAGACCCAGAGAAAGGAAGCTCTGAAAAAGCTGACTTTGAAAGGGCAATCGAATTAACTGGTGAGTGACGTGATTCAAATTATCTATATTTATTTATAAAAACATTTAATTTTTTATATATGTATACTTGTCGGATTTATTTATTATTTTAGTATCATTGAATATGAAACATATCAGCTTGCTTCGTAATATTTTTTTTAATAAATTACTACATTATAAAACTCTTAACTTTACGTCTTAATGTACTCACAGATTTCTGTTTTCAATGATTCTAGAATAATTATATGCTTACGAGATCAAAAAAATACAACGATTTTAGCTTCGTCTTTTAAGTTGTTGAATACTATGAAACAACTTTAAAAAGATTCAACAAGAAGTTCACGATCCATTTAAATAATAAAATTTATACTCTAAGATCCTTCTTCTTAATTTTTTGAAATAAAAGCTCTATAATATTACGTTGCTTTGATACTTCCGTTAACCACATTAATTTCATCGAATATTGTATGGAGGTAAATAGTAAAATATGAGTGGGTAATGTTTGTAAATAAATATGTAACTAGAAGGAGGGCTTGATTAGACCGATTTATGAATGAAGAATGCTTAGTAGCATTCCTCGTGTAGTGGCGTGATGGCGTATACCCATAAAACTAGGGTTGCCTAGTTAACAATATGAGAAACATCAATTGGACATGATGATTGTTGCATTTTTACTGAATTATACAAAAAAAAAAATATGTAAGAGTCAAAAGGATCTGACAAAACTCTTCTTCCTGCAGAACTCTTATGTAATCATATCATACGATTAATTTTAATTTAAAGGCTTACTTAATTTTGATTTATATAAATGTAATGTGATTTTTCGGTGATTATATATGGCAATGGAACATTACATTTTATAATCTCTTTTTGTTTAAAAATTACGTAGTTTTGTTTAAGTATTTTTTCCCATGGTGTGAATTTCGGGGAAGCCCGTGTTGCCACCCCTAGACTGGAGTAAACATGCTATCATTTCTTCGAAAGAAGAGCCATTACCAGGTGTCTGTTTACATTTATGCAGGATATAAGAGCGTGTAACGTGTTGTTTTTGTCATACATCTCATGTTCGTACTTCACTTGGTTACTTTGCGTATTTGTGATATTTGACCTATAATTAAAATGCGTAGTTAGTAAGTACACCTGTCAAAACGTTTATTTGTCTATAGGACTAATAACAAACACACCTTAACTAACCGCTGTCGTTTTTTGTCACAGACAAAATAAATTCAACTACTGTAATGGTCATTTTCTCAAGCGTACGTTGATTGGTAAATTTCTTTTTAAAAACTGAAGTGGGGGCTTAATCCATACGTACATACATCCTATTTTAAACATGTTCTGATAAACAGAGACAATGTAACCTTATTATATAAATTAGTGGATGACAAACATGTCTAAATATATATGCCGTGTTAAGATTTTTTTCATGATTAATAATTACAAGCATTTTGTTCTGTATCGTTTCAAAAATTATACCTCACCATACCATGGCAGATGCAATTTTTAAGTCTAAAAATAATCTTGGTTGACCCAAACAATGGGCCCACTCAAATTTCTAAGGCAATCTGGGTGGTATGTAAAAACGGTATGTCAAAGCTGTGGTTAAAGCGATAATGAATGCGCACTAAAATCTTAAAATACGAAGCCGTATGTCAATGTCAAATAATTATACTGCATGCAATAATGAGTAATATCTTCTTCTATTCTAATATCAAGTATTTATTGGCATATACGTACTGTCAATGTACGATAAATATTTCGCTGAATATGTCACCATCATAAAAACTTACAACACCTACTTAACCAATGTTTGCAAACAAATCGTATCTAAGATTCACGTGTAACCAGTATATTAGCGATCTCACGACTTCCTCTTCCTAATACATATTTTTTTATAATTAAATCATTAAGATTTCAGATTAAACAAGTTTCTTTACGTATCAACCAGAATTAAATGCGAATTAATAAGAATAATTTAATTTTCATTAATTGTCCTCTTCCAATGACCTTTGTAATGGCCAGGTAATATAAAGGTCAACTCGTTATATTTATATCAACTTAAATATGCGGACTCATTTAAATTTAAATATGTGATTGTTCTTTATATTATGAAAATTTTAAGTGTTTTGAGATGAGATTAATCTGATAAGTTATTTTATAGGATATGGAAGGTTCCACTACCTGCTCCTGGCAGTATGCGGTCTCGTCAGCACATCCGAGGAGATGGACGTCATCTCCATGTCCTTTATCCTGCCGTCGGCACAGTGCGACTTAGACCTTACCACTCAGACTAAAGTGAGTATTTTAATAGTAGATTAACTTTTTATAATCATCGTCATCTCTACTATAGGGGAACGAAAGGTTAAAATGGAATCATTTTATAGTTGACAAAATAGGTACTCGATCTATCGTATGTGCTGCTACTCTCACATAGTTGAGTTTGATTTATGAACGAACTAATTAATTCACCCGCTATTAAGACTAGAACTTACCTGCGGATGTCCAGCACAATCGGTCTTTCTCGGCCCGCATGCAGCGACTTCCCACGATCATTATCAAATCACTGTTCCAACTAGTTGTACTAGTAGTAACTATTCGAGGACCTATCCAACCTTTACGTTACTTTAATTCTCTTTCAGACCTCCTTTTCTAATTCCATAAAAATTAAAAATATATATTATTATACAACTGCACATAAATTGTTCAGATCCCAAATGAAGCTAATTGTAATATTGAAATCCAAAAGATAAAGTTAACACTAACACCCAGATCCGAGACCGGGTTCGAACTTTGGACCTTATGAGATTGCGATACCTTGAAACCACAAGTTTGATGTCGATCTAAAAAAATATACTTTGACGTCAATATCTACTGTAACGTATGTACGGTGATCAAGTTCAATTAACCATGAGGGTTAACAAGAATATTAATGTAGAATTAGCAAAGTATTATGCTAAAATATACATATTTATATAAATTATACATCTTATCAACTTCAGAATTTATAACTTTATGCCTATCATCATTTTACGTACCAATGCCTAGTGGGTAATAAAATCGGCATTTGCCTAGTTCCTAGCAAGTTCTTATTACAAGGTCTCCCGGCCCCCGGCGCTCATTTGCGAAGTCAATGACGTAGTTTTCGATTAATTTATATAAACTAGGAATATTGAATTTTAAACACAATTTTCAATGGTTCAAATTGTACACGGAGTATTTCAGTCATCGGTCTTCCTAAAGCTGTTACCTAATAATTACAATGTAATTCTCGTTATAATTGTGTGTTGACAAAATAAATGCCTATTATTATTATTATATACCTACTTAGCTGATATTAGTATCTTCAGTCGCGTGGTCTAAAGGAGATATTTTCTTGTGTTAAGTACCTACTCTAATTCACTCTCTAAGTTCGTCAAATAAACCAACATCAGACCAAACGAGAAACACACTTTTCCATTTCTAAATGTTTGTACCTATATGGAAAAAAAATAAGTAACAATTCTGCAATTTTTTAATTTTATATTTTTAAAAACGGTTCTTTACAATCGTACTTATTTGTAATAATATATATAAATATTTGTAATAACCCAATTATCCTATAAATTGTATGATTATTCCTTCATGCGGTTTTACATTACGTGCTGCTTAATACATGACTATTTTTATATTCTATTGTTTGCAATTATTCTATTGTTTATAATAGGCAGTTTGACATTAATTTTTTATTAACATTATAAACTTTGATCAAAATTTAAATTAAAAATGTTTTTCTCATTTCAAAAAAAGTCGACCAATATTGTGATAATATTGTCATCGTTTTGTTCAAATATTTAAAACTTGTAAATGTAATGTGTGTGTTTTTTGTCTTTATTTCATGTAATAATTCTGTTCTATTCATGACAAAGCTTCGTTATAGTTTTTGATGCTTTCTATGGAGAAAGTAGGCAAGTGTGTGCCTTTAAAAAATCCCATAGTGTGTATATGCAAATAAGAGTAACTAATACAAAAAAACAAGTATTAAAATAAACGAAAATTATGTCATTCGATAGCTCACTTTCGCAATTTTAAATTCGGTTTTTAAACTAATTTAACCAACCTCCTTACTGGTTCCGTTAATTAATCATTCATTAAAAAATCACATTTTTCCAGTTTATTAACTAATTTTAATTTATCGACTTCACTTATCTTGTCATTTCCTCACACGTAAAACAGGAAACATTACTCTTCTTAATAAAATAATAATGATAAGTTTGAAATAACTTTATTTTATTAATCAACTTTATTTAACATTTTTAAAGAATTACACTACATTATTCCAAATCACGAATACCAGTAGTGCCATAAACAAAGGATTAGTCTGATACCATAGACATTTATATATTAACACACAGAACATCCTCTCCGTTTTAACAAGTACTTATTTGGTTCTTACCCTTTACAATATAAGTACTAAAACTAAAATAAACTTAAGTTTACACCATACTTTCTTAAAACTTACATATATATTTTTTTTATAATTATGAAACTTAAATTTATTAACAAGTTTTAAACTATTATTTTGCTTTTACATGTATGTATTATAAGACATAATCTCTGTACTTTATTGGGATAGCCCTACATCGAACAGGTCTTATATTATTTGAGGTAGACTCACTTATAGGGGAAGTTCTTATATTACTTGAGACAGACTCACTTATAGGGGAAGTAAGATTTGAGTTTAAATTGTCATTAGCAAATACTTCGCAGCCATAGTCCATACTATCTGTGTCATGTATACTATTTGGTTTATATTTCTGATTAGTATTACAGTTAGATACATTTTCATCTTTTTTCTTTTCATTGCATGTTTTTTCAATATTTCCTCTATATGGTTTTATATGGATTAAGTCTCTTCTGTATAGTACACCATCTACATTAACTTTATATGATCTTTCACTTACTTTTTCAACCACATATCCTAATTTCCATGTATTATTGTTTTCTGGATTTATTTGAACGGCTACATTTTGACCCATTTCCAAGGAATATGGTTTTCTACATCTTTTGTCATAAAAATATTTTGATTTTTCTTTTCTTATCATTAGTTTTTCTGGAATGTTGTTAATTCTTACAGGAACCATTTGTTCTGATGTACTAGGCAATAAGGTCCTAGTTCTTCTAGATAAGAACTTTTGTGCTGGGCTACAATGATCTTCATTATTGGGCACATTTCTCTGGTGTAACAGTGAGATCCAAAAGTCCTCACCTGTTTCAGAACATTTGAGAATGAGCTTCTTTGCCGACTTTACCGTTGCTTCAGCAGTTCCATTTGATTGTGGGTAATGTGGTGACGATGTTACATGAACAAAATCCCAATCTTCAGCAAACTTGGTAAATTCCTTGTTTACAAAATTAGTAGCCCCATCAGTACATAATTTTTGTGGTATTCCATGTCTTGCAAAATTCTTTTTACATATATTTATAACCTCTCTAGATGAAAGATCTCTTAATTTATCAATTTCATAAAAATTTGAGTAATGGTCTACTGTTATCAGAAAGTTCAGAGATTGTGTATTTATTTTTACATTAAAAACATCCATAGATACATACTGAAAAGGATATGATGGTATATCATGTGATAACATGGGAAACCTTATTTGAGATGGTGAGTATTTTATACAAATTCTACATCTTTCAACAAAATTTTTTATGTCTTCGGACATGCCAGGCCAGAAGATATTTTGTTTTGCTAATTTAATGGTACTAGTAATGCCATTATGACTTAAATGAACCTTTGACAACATGTCTTTTCTCAAGCATTTAGGAATAAGAACTTGATCATTTCTAAAAATTATGTTATTTTGAACTGACAGGTCAGATGCAAACTTATAAAACCATCTGAGATTCTCAGGCATATCAGAGACATAATTGGGGAATCCATTTATAATATAGTTTACAAGCTGTTGACATTCTGAATCAGCTTCTGTTTTTTCTTTAATATTTTTCATTATATTACTTGATATTTTTAGGTATTTCAAAGAAGAATGTTTGGCTATAATGTTAAAAATCTGTTTATTATAAAAACTGTCAAAACCATTACAGTTTATTTCATTCATTTCAGTTGGAGCTCTAGAAAGAGCATCAGCAACAAAATTATTTTTTCCACTTATATACTCTATTTTTAGATCATATCTTTGAAGAATCATTAACATAAGCTGAAGTCTCTTTGGAGCCTCAATTAGAGGTTTTTTAAAAATATTCACCAATGGCTTATGATCAGTTTTTATAATAGTGTTAGTATTTGCAGTTACATACTGACTAAATCTAGAACAAGCAAAGACCACAGCTAGCATTTCTTTTTCAATTTGGGCATACCTTTTTTCTGTCTTAGTTAAGGTCCTAGAAGCAAATGCTACAACCTCCTTGTCCTGATAGAGTGCTGCTCCTAAGCCTATACTGCTTGCATCACATTCTATTATTAATGGCTTATTCATATCATAATATCTAAGGGTTGGCAAACTACTAAGTGTTAAAATAATTTGTTCAAATTCAGCCTGTTCTTTTTCTGTCCATTGCCACTTAGCATTTTTTTTGGTTAACTCTCTTAACGAGCTTACTTTAAAACTTAAATTCTTAATAAATTTGCTCAAGTATGTTACCATCCCCAGAAGCCTTGAGACGTCTTTACAGCATTTAGGTATAGCTATATTCTTGATGGCTGTAACTTTTTCTTCATCCACTTTAAGACCAGTATCAGTCAATACATGGCCATAAAACTTCACAGATTTCTGTAATAAATTTAATTTATCTTTATTAAGTTTACAATTGTTTTCTTGTAGTCTCAGTAAAAGATTTTCCAAATTAATATTATGATTTCTGATTGCTTCTTCTGTAGTGTTGCCTGACCCATACACCAAAATATCATCTGCCATAACCTCAATACCCTTTAGACCATGCAAGACCGTTAATAATTTTTGTTGAAAAATTTCTGGCGCTGAAGAGATACCAAATGGAAGCCTAAGCCATCTATATCTACCAAAGGGCGTCCAGAATGTTGTGAGTTTACTGCTTTTGTCACTAAGTTTAACATGCCAAAAACCCTTTAATGCATCCACAGTACTAAAAACTTTAGCTTTTCCTAATTCTGGCAAGACTTCCTCTAAAGTTGTAAACTGAAAATGAGGTCTTTTCAATGCCTTATTCAATGGTATAGGGTCTAGACATATTCGGAATTTTTTACCTTTACGAACCAACAGAATATTATTAACCCAATCTGTATGTGATTCTTCCTTAACAATAATTTTATTTTTTACTAACCTATCAAGTTCTTCTTTAAGAGGTTCTCGCAGTGCCATAGGAACTCGTCTTGCTGGTTGAATGCGGGGTGGGACGGATTCATCTATTTCCAATTCAACAACACCTGGAAGCTCACCATATCCTTGGAAAACATCATAGTATTTTGCAACTATATCCTGTGTGTCTTTGTAATCATCCATACCTATCATCACAGTGTTACAGTAGTTTATCAGCCCAAGAGATACACATGCAGATTCAGATAACAAAGGTTGATGACTAACATTTACAACATGAAACATTATCTGATATTTTTTATTCTTATACATACATTCAATATCAACCACTCCTAATGTCTCTATGTCTGTACCATTAAAACACTTTAGTTTTAAATCTGTAGGTTGCAGATGTTTCAGACAATCATCATTGAGCATCTTCTTATATTGTTCAACACCAATAACACACACCTGAGCTCCTGTATCTAATGTGCAGAAAGCATCGAGCCATCTATTGCCAATTTTTAACTTGAGTTCAACCTCTTTATGTCCAGAATGTTGATTTGTTTTAATTTTAGATATATATATACTGTTATCACTTATATTTGCTGTTTCTTCCTCTGTGTCATATTTGTTTTCTTGTATTTCTTTTATGACTTTCGTTTTCTTACATACCTTTTTAAAGTGATTTCTGCCATGACAACTTTCACACCTCTGTCCCCAAGCTGGACAAAGTTTCTTATTGAATATATGTTTTTCTCCACAAAACTTACAAGTTTTTATTTGTTTCTTGTCAATTTTTAGAATGTTTTTTTCTTGTGTTGTAACTCTATTGATAGATTGCAACTGTTCAGTTGTTGTTTCAGCAGATCTACATATATTAATAGTCCTTACTAGATCCAGTCCCTCGACTCTCAGGAGTTCCTTTTTTGTATCTGCATTTCTTATTCCTACTACAATTCTGTCTCTCAACATTTCATCTATTATAGTAGTGTTGTAGTTACACGATTTAATTAATTTTCTTAGTTCTCTTATATACGAATCAATGTCTTCACCTTCTTGTTGATTTCTTTTATTGAAAAGGTACCTATTGTAGATAACATTTTGGTTTTTCACAAGACATTTTTCTAATTTTAAAAATATCTTAGCCTCACTTTTCATATCTTTTTCTTCCAAACCAAAATGCATATACTTTTTCATAGCTGCATGTCCTATGGCATTTATTAAAAGTGTCGGTCTTTGATCTTCCTTTAACCCTGTAGCAACGACATAATTATACCACGTGGTTTTAAAAAACTCTAGGGCGTCCCCAGGATTTGTAGATTCCACGTCCAATGGCGCAGGCCACGGAACATGTATTCGGTTTCCATTTGACGATCCTTGCAGTTCTATTTGTTTTTGAATACTTTGGAGAATTTCACACTGTTTTTCCAGTACGTGCGCTAATTCTGAAGAAGCCATATTGTTTGATAATTTTCACTTTTGTTTAAGATAAAACTTATCTTCTATAAATTCTCTTTATTTAATGAGAATTCTGACACCATCTTCTTAATAAAATAATAATGATAAGTTTGAAATAACTTTATTTTATTAATCAACTTTATTTAACATTTTTAAAGAATTACACTACATTATTCCAAATCACGAATACCAGTAGTGCCATAAACAAAGGATTAGTCTGATACCATAGACATTTATATATTAACACACAGAACAATGACATAGAAACATTCTAATTCTTTATGAATGTTAATTATCCAATAATAATATTGACAAAATTACATGTTGTAACCTTATACATACCTTGATATATTAAAGTAAACTCTCTAACTTATGTGTATCGAGAGAGACTCCCACATAACACAGAAAAATGTGTTCTATAGCTACCCCGCACGGAATTTTCTAATGCCTATCACTACTGAAGCTTCAAAAGTTCCTTGTTTTATCACATAAAATAGCTGGTCGACACACTTCCTCCTCATCACGATTTCTTATGTCTTCCAGTGTACCTCTTGCCTCCTATTAACCCTAGCATTATTGATTTAAATTAAATATCAGAGATATTCAACCCAGTGCTTTTTCGCGACATTGAAACACCAGAGAAATTTCGTTGCTGACTTCCAGTGTCCCAGCAAATACGGAACATGCAAGGATGGGCACCACATTTCAACAGATTCGAGACGCCACGGTCTTGTGTCTTATTTATTTGATCTGATGTCTCCTACTATTGCATTGTCTATTATACTTATGTATGCGTATATAAAAGCCTAATTTATATTGAGAAATTATGCAAATGTAGATACAACAAGCAAAAATAAGTAATTTAAGAAAATATATTACATTATAGACGTAATAATATTACAGGGATGGCTGAACAGCATTATATTCATCGGCATGATGGTGGGCGCGTATGCGTGGGGCTCCGTTGCGGACTCGCTGGGTCGCAAGCGTGTACTGATCGCTATCTCCATCGTAAACGCACTCGCCATCGTCGCATCCTCCTTCAGTCAGAACTACGAACTGTTTATGCTCTTCCGCTTCATTAACGGTGCCGCGTGAGTAATCTCATTATTATTACCATCAACATCAGTATACAAATGTCTTTACTTCTGTGGCAGAGGCCACATCAGTATACAAATGTCTTCTGTGGCAGAGGCCAACACTGCTTATTGAAACAGGGTAAACGGGCTATAATGGACCTACCTAATGCGGATTAGTGAGTTATAACGACTGCAGATACATCAAGGTTCAAAGGCCTGCCTTCCGAATTAAGGCAGCAAGGAACGTTAATTTTCTGGAAAAAATAATAGATCAATTCATGAACTGGAATCTATAAATTGAAAATGTTTGTAAGAAAATAAATAAATTTGTTTACGCTTTGTGTCATCATACAAAAGTAACAAATAAAAAGACCGTTGTGTTATCACATAACGCTTAAGTCAAATCTGTATTACGATACAGTTTAATTAGTATACTGTCATACATAGTACAGATTGGAACAGAGCCTTCGTAGCACAGAAAAAATGTATTAGAGCCATGTGGAATTTTGCATGATGAATCGTGTAAAACTAAATTTAAAAGTTTAGGTTTGCTGCCTCTTTCATCACTATACACTTACGAAGTGTGTAATTTTGTTCATCAAAATATTTTTTTTTACAAAAGCATCTGATGCTCATAGTTTAGAGTATGACAGACATAAATTAGTCATAAGTAGTATACCCAAAACATCTAAATATTGTATAATAAAAGCTTTTTAATCAATCAATCAATGTGCGTGCGAATATATTATAAGATACTTACTGAAATAAAAGTATCAACCTGTTTTCTTAAAAAAAAAAATTTGAAATGGTTGAATGAAAATCAATTTTATGCAGTTAAGAAATTCGTGGAAAAATATTTGTAAATACTGACATAAATATATGAGATATTTTAATAATGACATCATTTATTTTATTCTTTTTGACTTTATTTTTGATTAACATACGATCGTAATTATTGCCTGACTGAGATTGACATTTATATGAATTTGCATGCTATTTTAATATGATATAACATAAGAAAGAATATATAATTAATAGAACCAACATTTTATACAATGTTTTGTGCAAATAAACGATTATTATTATTGAAGCACGAAGGAACTTATAACATTTATTCTGAATCTTGCTAAGCATACTTTTGGAAACTTGTATTAACCTATAGTTCTGCTCAATTGATCAGGGGCGAAATTAAATAGTCGCCCACTTAATTTTTTATCTTAATTTCAGACTTGGTGGTTCAGGTCCAGTCATATGGTCATACTTCGCCGAGTTTCAGCCTAAAAAGAAGCGTGGTGCTATGTTAAGTTTCATGGCTGCTTTTTGGACACTTGGCAACTTGTTCGTGGCTGGTCTGGCATGGGTCATTATTCCCAGTGGTAAGTGAGAGTCAGCACTTTTCCTCCAAACAATATTAGATACACAAGTTATATATACAATACGCTCTTTTTTTCCTGTGTTTTCAAACGATTTATCTTTTCAGAGATCGGAGTTACAACCGGTGCCTTCGTTTACAACTCATGGCGTATCTTCTTGCTAGTGATGTCATTGCCCTCTTTTCTTGTGGCTGCTTTACTATTCTTGCTTCCCGAATCTCCCAAGTTCTTAATATCTACCGGTCGCCAAGAGGAAGCCTTAGAAGTATTCCGAAGCATCTACCTTATGAACACCGGGCACAGCAAAGATGAATACCCAGTCAAACAGATCATCGTTGACGATATTATGCACACCAAGCCAGAGAAGCAAATTGAAGCCACAAAAGAGCCCAAAGAGCCCAAATCTAAAATCAGGAGAATGTTGAGCGACATCGTCGAACATAGCAAACAGTTGTTCGTACCGCCCATACTCAAGTTTACTATGATCTCTATTACGATCAACTTTACCTTCCATATCGGGTTCGTATGATTTATTTAAATTTTCATTGTTTCTAAATTTAAACAAATTCAATTTTTTTTTATTTAGCATAAAATATTTGGATCATTGGAAGTGGATATGAATTCTTAAGACTGACTGCTAGCAATCCGCCAATGGATTGCTTGTTGGTCTCATGGCGTTGGTCGGCATTTGTGAAGAAGTCTCAGTTTAAGTATTTTCTCAAACTGAGCCTAACACAACATTTCTACATTAAATTATATTGGAAAATTATTATAGTTTCCATTTCTATAAATGCATCCTTGAGCTCCTTTCTTTCTTCAAATCGGGATAAAGCGTGAAATTCTTCGTATGATTAAACGATGGTAATGGGAGCTAAAACGCGTATTCGGTTTAGTAATAAGTAACTCTCACAAGGGCTAATCATAGGGTGGATGATCAAAAATATCTTATCTACCCCGTGCATCGGTAGGTTAGTAAAAGTCCCGTCTGCATTCGTTAACTCCCATCAATCCACACTGTGCCGTAGTTGTATGTAAAGCTTGTCCTCCTTATTAGGGGCGTTTAGGCCGGCCTCGCTCAAGTCTGTCTTTTTCAAGACGGTTTAAGGCTTAAAGTTGCATTTCCCCTGCGTTTTCCAAAAAAGCTGATGATGATGATAGGTTACATTGTGGCACGTTTTTTATCCACGCAGGTACTACGGGCTGATGATGTGGTTCCCGGAGATGTTCAATAGGTTTGATGAGTGGTCGCGCACCCATAACAACGCGGAGGCGGACATCTGCCAGGTGACACGCTACGTGACACAGCAGGGCACGCACTCGGCGGCCGCGCAGTGTGACTCGCACATACACTCCGACGTGTTCATGGAATCACTCATCACAGTTGCCGCCGCCATACCGTCCAATATATTCGCCGTGCTCGGCATGGACAGACTGGGAAGGAAGTTCTTCTTGGGTGAGTTTTTGTTTACCTCGTTTTCAAACATCTAGATTTAGAAGATAAAGTCTAAGACCATTGGATTCTGGTAGCACCAGGCCACTCAGGCTACGCATATCGAGATTATGTTGTGTACAAACAGTAACCATTAAATTAGATTAGGTCAAATACCTAAAGAGCGCAATAATATATATAATTATTTTATAGAACACGTGGTCTATTGCAATCAATTAATATCGTTTTTTATTTAATGTTACCAGTGTTCGCAACGTTCTCTGCGGGCATGTGCTCTGCGGCCATGTACTTTGTGTACAATAAGACGAACAACCTGATTGTGAGCGCCATCTTCAGTTCCGTCATCTCATGCGGCAATGCTTCTCTCGACTGTCTCATCACTGAAGTTTTCCCCACCAACTTGCGGTAAGTCATAAAACTGCTTATACTTTCACAAGTAGGTACGGCAAAGTTAATAGATCCGTATAGTTTATTAGAACATGTATTTAGAGCAACAGATATTCGACTTCGCTGCCTATAATTATTGGAAATTAATTGTATACCTCTGTTATATTTATAGACAAAACAAATGAAGACACTTTTTCCACATACTTAATCCCTCGAAAGTTTACGACCTCCCTGATTAAGTGGTCTTACATAACATCACCATTATAGGGTCTAGGCACGATCGCCGGGCAAATTATTGTAACAACTTCATTGTTTCGCTTTGCCATTACAAAACATTTCGCTATTTAACTTTATATTAAAAGGATCTGAGTAATGTGGTGGTATTACTTAATATTAATCTTTTGATATTGATTTTGTTTTCTGAATTGCAGAGCCACGGGTGTAGCCGTATCCATGGTAGCTGCCCGTCTGGGCGGTATCATCGGTAATGTCGTAATTGCCGCACTACTGGATACCTACTGCCCCGCGCCCACCTTCATCGTGGCCGTCCTACTCGCCAGTGGCGGTCTCATGTGCCTCTTCCTACCTAACACCACTAGACAAGCGCTGCAGTAAACCAAACTTTCACTGCAGACACCATCTATTGCTGCAGCCACCACCCGTCTATCGCTGCGCTCACCACCACAGAAACGCTAATTTTAGAGTCAACGCTGTAGAGAATCTGCCTGCAGGACTGCAGTGGGACTCGGCATCCGCGATTGACGGCAAAGCCTGTACACGGAATTTTTACTATCATAAATTTCAACTGAATTTTAATTCAATTCAGAATTTTAGTTCCGCTTAAGATCGCTATAGTCATCATCGAATATCACCGATGCTATCTAGTACTTTGATGTACAGTGCTGTATTGAAATAATTTATAGAAAACCATTCCGGTATACGTACTGATGTAACGTTGGCTGTCATAGATCACTTTAAATGTGTTTCGTCAAATACAAAGTACACGAAACCTAGTTCCATATCTTTTTTTAGAAGTATTATAGATTAAGCGTCAATCATTATTTTCATATTACGAATTTATAAATTAGAATTGTTACCGTAGTCTGTAGTATTAGCATGTAGTGAAGATATTAAACTGCGAGTTGTGATAAGATCAAATGATTTTGATCACTGTAAAGAAAGCTAGTTTAATTACAGTTCATACAATGTGTAACATTTGTGAAAGTTTAAAACTTTAAACATCATAAATTATTGAAACTTTTAAAAAGCATTGTATATATTGAAGTTTTAAATAATTAAAATATTGGTCATTCAGAGTTCATGTCCATAAGTACATATGTTACAACATTCCAAAGTAAATCTTTAATAACTTGCTGTTGTGTTTTATTGTCTACGATATTTTTCCCTTATGTGACTGTGAGTAAAGATATCGTTTATTATCAAGAAACTAAAATAGAACAAAAAGTTAAAAACACATGAAGTATGTATCTGCAAATAAATATTATTCATATTAGGGTTATTATTATAAAATTTTCTATTTAATTTGATCGGGATTCTATCCATTGGGAAGGCCTGGTTAAAAATATAAAAGACCAATATCCTTCCCCAGAAAGGGGTTTATTAGTTTATCTATGAGCATTTGCATTTATGATAAAAGTACTAATCTGTCTACCATATACCATTTAAATTATGCGCTTCAGCTATATTCATCAAGCTTCGGCAATCCTAATGTATTTTAAAGATATCTATATAGAGTTGTTATTACATAATTAATCATTTCGCTTAAATTTAGATTAGGTCAGTCAATTAAAAAAATAAAAATATACTGTGTTTCTTGCCATCAGCTGATACCAAAATGAAAACCCCAGATTAAAGAAAATCGAATTAAGATAAATCGGTTGTACTAACTTAATAAGTTTCTGACACCAGTAAGTAGAACAGTTTTTTTTTATAACAAAATTCATCAATTAATATAAATTTATCAATTAATGACAATTTGATATGACTTCTATACCTGACATTTCAGACTCAGAATTATTACTGTTGCTGCTGGAACCAATGTTTAAAATGAATCTATCCGAATAGTTATCAAACACAGGCTCAAATTTCCGGTAATCATCCTCACACTTGATAGCATGATCACATACTTTCTTCCATTCGTCGGGTGCTATCATGTTAACTTTTTGTAATATAAGTTCTTTTTTTTTCGCTACATGCCCCTTTATTTTGGACTAAATATTCTCGATACGATTAAAGTCAGGATGATATGGTGGTAATCGTAAAATTGAATGTCCATGCTCTTGTAAAATTTTGTCAATGGTAAATACAGCCAAACTTTCTTTATGAGTCAATATAATTTCATATAACTCAGGCTTTGTTAATGTAGTGTCAAAAGGAATATGGTACCATCACAGTCGAGGTACTGACGAGTTTTGGCGACTAAAACGACGATCACACATTGGTTTCTTGATCGGTTAAATTCGTAAACACGAAATATACCGAGGCGCATAATTTAAATAGTATATGTTGTACGGTCGGCCAAGAAAGTGGTCTACCAGTTTTGACAACATTTCCCGTGTCTTTAAAGCATCGCTAAAGGCGAATCTTAGAATTGCATACAAACAATAAAAGAGATGCACATGCTGACGTGTTGTCGTAGAGCACAAATGTTATTTTGACCTTTGCAGCCTATGCATTAGATAATAATTTGCAACAACAAATAGTCTTCACAATATTTCATAAATTTAAAATTTAAGTAGGTCACTTCAAAGTGGAAACTATTTTGTTACGAAAACTCTTTTACTGAAAAAGAATATATCACTTGACAATTCATGTCAAATATTTTCTCGGCATTTTCCGTAGGTATTTTCCTAATTAATTTACACTACAATGCCCCGAAATTTATCCATTAACGAAAAAGCACAAATAATCGCATTACACAATGATGGTTTGAATATTAGTGAGATTTCTAGAGAATTAAATGTGTCGGTAAGTATTATTATGTCTGACGTGAGTTTAATGTAAAATCTCAGACCAAGTCCGAGTGTAAATTTTTTTTTTTATTTTTTCTGTTCATATTTTATTTTTGATTATAGAGACAAGCTGTCCGTCTTTGGATAAGACGAGAAAGCGAGGAGGGGAATTTGAACGCTCGGAGTCGTAGCGGTCGTAGACCTGAAATATCAGATACTCAGCGAGTCTTCATGAGACGGAGTTATGAGGAATCTGGCTTTATACCAACGCGTTATTTTGCCGACATATTTGACGTGACTCTCCAAACCATTAGAAACCATTTACATTACATGGGCTTACATCACAGGCGTAATTTATATGACTGACGCTTATAGAATGGCCAGATTAAATTTCGCCATAGAATATTTGGATTTTGATTGGAGTAACACTGTTTTCGTTTCGGCTTCTATTATGAAGTCTTATGAAGGCCGTCCATATATTTTTTTCCAAAATATCTTACAAATGTAACCTTGTTACATTTTTATTATAGGTATAGATAATTACAGTCAAAGGTTACGTCAAAATGATGAAGATAGCAATAATGACGTGTACTTGACGTGTCAAAAAATTAATGCTACGGAAAATCAACCTTGTTGTTAGTTGACGTAACACGCGAAATTCAACCTTAGGGTGGTAGACCACTTTCTTGGCCGACTGTACATACATACAGCAATCACTGTATATGATACATAATCTAGTATACAACTTTTTTATTTTCTAATTTATCCCCAAAAGAGACCCGTTTCGCAAATTCTTGACTTGGTTCGTCAATTAATTCCCTTATTTATCAGACAAATATGAAATAAGGGCAAATAGCAAGTTACGAAGTTTTGCTACCGGACTGAAGGCAACTCGGCGGGGGCACAGACTCGCGTTTATCTTAGAAACTATGAGACTTGACTATTTGTCAAGCATTTTGCATTGTAATTATATAATAACGGACTGTACGAATAATACATTTCAAAATCCAAGAGGCTAGCGCTGCCAAACCGACACCTTTTTTGCGAAGAGCTTTCGTAAGCGGAAGATCGGCATAATGCGTACTCGGGACCTTGTCAGTTGCACTCGGGACGTACCTAACAAATAACAATATACTTAGTTGTAGAGACTTGCAATAATCGTAAATTTACGATCGTAATAAATTTACGACCAATTCTGTAAAACTCCTGGGGCGGTAGTCTCGACACAGTTTGTGAACGCAATGTTAGCGAATTTGGTCGCTAACTCATAGCGATCGTAATTTAACGAATATTGCAAGTCTCTATTTTTATTTTTATTTATTTATTATTTTTTTATTTTTTTTTATTTGGAAAACATACAGTAACGATATAACTAATGTAATAACTAAATATTATATAGATGTACATAGTAATCAGTTTTCGCATATAGACACTTATGTACTTATTTACATTAACAATATATATATAAGACATATAAAGAACAATCAGGGAAAAACCAAGGACCACCTTTAGCTAAGGAATCGCATCAAACCATTCACTACTCAGACGTTGTCTGAAAGTAGTCGGTTTACTATTAAAAATGTCAAGCGTGGAATTCACCAAATTATTAAAACTATTTGCTGAGCGTACAAAAAATGAGGTTTTCCTATAATTTGTGTTACAAAACGGGACACTGAGACTGTTATGGTGTCTTGTACCTTTTGTTGGAACTCTAAAATTTATTAGAGATAGGAGTAATGGAGCATCCATAAGAGATTGTGATAATTTAACTAACGTGACTATATCGATAATATTCCGTCTCTCCACCAGAGGTAAGATATGATGTTTCCTACACCTCGCGTCGTAATCCGTTTCATAACCTCTACACCTGTACTGTAAGTACTTAAGAAACTTCCGTTGTATTCTTTCTAACCTATCAATATAAATTCTATATTGTGGGTTCCATATCTGCGAACAGTACTCAAGGTGGCTACGCACGTATGAACAGTATAGTATTTTAGCAACTTTTAAACTAGAAAACTGAGAACATGATCTTATAATAAAACCTAACGATTGGTAAGCTTTTTTAGTGATACAATCAATATGTTTTTCATATGTAAGTTTGCTGTCGTGAATAACCCCTAGATCTCGGATTTCATTAACTTTCTTAAGTTCAGTCCTGTTAAGCTTATATTGATAGTTGATTATTAGATTCTTACGAGTAAACGAAATACTACAGCATTTGGAGACATTCAGATCTAACTTGTTATTTACACAGTATTTTTCGAAGTTGTCCAGGTCTTGTTGTAAGAGATGACAGTCATGACTAGATTTTATTTGTTTAAAAATTTTCATATCGTCCGCATATAATAGAAAACGTGAGTGGGTAAAGCAGGCATTAATATCGTTAACATAAATATTAAAAAGCAACGGCCCAAGCAAAGAGCCTTGAGCTACACCGGAGGGTATAGTATACCAGTTCGAAGTATACCCATTTAATGCTACAGCTTGTGTTCGGTTTTGTATATACGAAGAAAACCATCTATACAAATTACCATGGATTCCCGCGGCAAGAAGCTTTTTTAAGAGCAGCATATGATCTATTCGATCGAAAGCTTTGCTGTAATCAGTAAAAATCGAGTCCACCTGACCGACAGACTCCATACCAGATGTTACGTAGTCGGTAAAAGATAGCAGATTTGTTGTTGTTGAGCGATTTTTGAGAAATCCATGTTGCTCCGGAATGAAAGTGCGCGACAGGGAGTTGTATACTTGGTTGTAGACTATACGCTCTAGGATCTTCGAGAACAGGCATAATTTTGAAATGGGACGGTAATTATTTACAATATTTTTGTCACCACTTTTATGGATAGGGGTAATAAATGCAGCTTTCCACTCAGTGGGGACAAATCCTTCCCTTACGGATCGCTGAAACAGTATCGTGAGGGGCTCCGTTAATTCTTTGGCACAGTTTAAAATCAGGACGGATGGTATGCCATCGGGCCCGGCACCCTTATATAAATCCAGAGATTTAATAATTTTAAAAACGGTTTCCGGGTCGATAATTATATCATGGATAGTGTGACAATGATTAGGGTACATAGAGGGATAAGGTTTATTTGTCAGTGATGAGGAATTGTCAGTAAGCCCACTAGGGTTAGATGAGGTAAATGTTGACTGAAAGTAGGACGCAAACAGGTTGCATACATCATTACCAGACTTAGCAGATTGTCCCTCATAGAGTAACTCTGTGGGCAGAACATTAGATCCTTTTTTGTTAGCTTTTATGTAAGACCAGAATACTTTCGGATTATCTACAATTGAGTCTTCCATTTTATGTATATATGTAATGTGGCATTGTTGTTCTAACAATTTGGCACGTTTTCTTAATAAAGAAAATGTATCGTAATCATCTTTATTACCGTATATACGATATTTGATAAGGAATTTACGTTTCTCTTTTAGTACCTTTTTTAATGCAGCATTATACCAGGGCGGAAATGTAGAAGGAGCAACGATTTTTGATGGAATATACTTTTCCCTTATCGAATATAAATAATCATAAAAATATGTCACAGCACTTCCTAACGAATTATTATGTAATTGAGTTTTCCAGTCGACTTCCTGCAAGGATGATTTGATTTTTTGAAAATTACCAAATTCATATAAATATTTGCGTCTTGGCTTAGCTTTAAGAGTTTCACTCAAATTCATATTAAGACAAATTTCCAAAGACCTATGGTGAGCATCTTCAGGGACCAATGAATCATCACAAGAGTTACATGTTAACGATGAGTTACACAACACTAGGTCCAAAACCCTATGATTTAAATTGTGTATCAAATTAAATTGTATTAAATTACACTCCGTGAGTGTGTCGAAAAAATATATTTGGCTATCACCCGATATACCGGAGGGCTGCAACTGAGTTCCATCACTGGACCAATGAATATTAGAAAGATTAAAATCTCCCATAATTATAAAAATATCATCGGGGCAGTTATTCACTATATATGATAATTTATCAGCGAAATTCAATAACTGATAGTTAAAGGAGTAACCATTTTTTTCGTCACATAAATATAACGTACAAAGATGAATTTTAATTAGTTTGCGATCTTTGGATCTATGAGTTATAGTGACCCATAGATCTTCAGCCGATGAAGTCCAGTTCGGACGTTCAATTGCCGCTAATTCGCGACGAACTGCCAAGAGAACCCCTCCGCCGTACTTCTGTTTAGTGCGTAAATAATCCCTATCGCGCCTCCATACAACATACCTATCATCGACAACCTCAGAGTCACTGGAACCACTTGTTAACCATGTTTCCGTAATGGAAATTACATCGTAATGTTTCAGTAGTAAATTGCGTTTAAGTATATTTGTTTTAGTGCGTAACCCCCTGGCATTCTGATAATAAATATTTAAATTATACATATTCGAAAGTAATAAAAAGATATCCCGAGCGATTCATAATAATTGCATAAAAGTAATATTGCAATGGTACCCACACACAACACACGCTCATAATCTAATGTTCTAGAACGGAGGTTTAAATGTTTAAGCCTTAAAAATGTATTAAATAAGATTATAGTTTTTTTATATACTTTAAACAAAAAAAAATAACAATTGTAAACTTTGTTCCATAAGCTCCAAGAAGTTATCATTTGATTTAAAAGTGTAAAACGGGTATAACAATATTTGAACGGGGGATCGTGTGTGCAACAATAGTTGTGTGACGACACATAGACATACGAATGTAACCCGTAAGATAACACAAACAAGTGCACGCTCAGGCGTTAATTGTACTTACAGTGGCGATAACTTAATCCTGACGATCGGCTCGTTACTAAACCGCTCATTGTTCTATAAACAAGTTTAAGGAAAGATGTGATTCCCAAACTATATACACTTACTATAAAATACTTAAAAATTTGTGATTCAATTAAATAATATTTTTCTATGAATATATAAATTATGTTATCTTCAGTAAATCCCTGTCGCATTTTATTGCGATAATTGGCGAAGAATCTGATTTTCGTCCCAATATTTTGCAATGCTTGACCCATATATACCGGAAGTTTTTTTCCTTGGCCAATGATCTCGCTTTACCTAAAAGGGTTTTGTTGTATGTAGTGAGGTGATCATTAATATAAATTAATAATATATTTAAAGTTATCGATTTTTGTCGGTAGCGTAGCGAGTTTAACTGTCAAATTAACGAATTTCGTTAGCTCTTTAGCGACCAAATTTGACAGCTCGATAAGTGGCTTTTGCGATCGCTAATAATATTTTTTTCGATATTTTACGGAATTTCGAGATATTTATATCGGAAATTTAGTCATAAAGATATTTAAAACGTGATGGTTGAAGCATATTTAGCATTAGATTTAACAGTGCTTGAACATCGACACCTAATGGTGAGGCGACGGCAAATAACCAGAAACAGGCGATGGCTCCAAAATCCTTTGGCTTTAGATGAGACGAATTTCTTATGCTATATAGAATTAGCAGAAGATTGATCGAACGTTTTTATACCTAAGATTATTTTTTATTTCAATGTATTTTATGTAGGTAGATGTACAAATTAAAAACGACCATATAAGTTGTAAATTCACTTTTATTTATTTTGGGCCAGAAGCAAAATGCATCCCCTATTTTACTCATCGATGAAGCTTCAGCCTGCTTCATTGCAGCCTCTGTCTGCAATTTTGATGCAGCTGCCAGCATCTATAAAAAATAAACTAAATAAATGCGGGACTCCCTTTACCCATATATAGGTATTAGTCTCATATTCAATCTCGTTGAATTTGATATAATCAAAATGTTTTTGGGTGTTTTTTGTTTATCTATTATTAATTCATTCATTTCAAATACATAACAAAATCACATTTAATAAAGATTGTGTAAACATACCTTCATTGATTCCGTATTTGACTCTGCAATGGCGAGAAAATTGAGTTTTGGCCGAATCGTGTTGCTCTGCAACACTTCGCCGAGAATTGCGATCTAAAAAACAGTATAAAAATATTTATCAATATAAATATTTATTATATTCACCACAGTATAAACAATAAACATGAAGATTGTACTAACTTCTCCTCCTTCTTGACTGCACCTCATTTTGAGTATTGGGAGCCGTATTGCCAATGCATACTAAAATAATAAATAGCATTACGTTAGTAATATATTCTAAGGGATGAGAAGTAAAAATCCATAATATTAATCAAGCACAGTGAATTCAAAAAGGTGCATACTTAGCAATATTTTATATTCAAAACAAACTTCAAACAGGTTCAATATTTGGAGCACGCGGAGCCTGTTGCACGTGCGACTCCGCATCTGGATCTCCCGCCATGACTCACAAAACAAATTATTGCAATAAATTATGTGAAGTTTTTCACGAAACAGCGTAACCGTGATAAACAATAATGTTTTGACATATCGATGATCTTTTTGACATGAACAAGAGGTCGCAAGGAAACAAATTTTAATTTCCAATAATAATCGAATTGGTTTAATACATTTAATAATAAATGATACTTATAAAATAAATAAAAAGCAAACATTTTCTAGTACGCAATATTTTTTTAAAATTTTATTTGCTAAATTGAACATGAAATCATTACTTAAAAACAAAATACGTTGTTCTGATTTCCTTAGATTTAAAATACTTTTATCTGAAGCAACATTTTCTTCTTTAGGAAACTGTACTTGAACTGCACTATAAATACAGATTTTCGATATGTTATCGTCTGAATAGTTTACGATTTTGCTCGGTAACTCGGTAATAGAGACTTGCATTCGAAGTAACGATCGTTACCGCAAACAATTATTTTCGTTAATATTTGACATTCGATACTTTGCGATCGTATCGCTATTAATGTCGAGACTACAGCCCCTGGACGTGCAGTTTCGTCATTCATAGCGATCGTTAAGTAACAATCGCAAAGATCAATGACCGAACCATTGCTAAGAAGCTTACGAATGTTGCTAATTTGATAGCTGCACTCGGTACGTGTCTAACAATTAACAATACACCTAACTGTACAAAACTTGCAATAATGTTTAAGTTAAGATCACTATGAGTTAGCGACCGAAATCTGTAAGATTGCGATCGCAAACTCTGTCGAAACTGCAGCCCCAGTTTTGTATAAAAACTATTAAATTACTCAAATATTTTTAAATCTTAACCCATTGACAATAAATTCAAAATTTTAAATTCTTAAGTAACCTCATGTGCTTAAGGTACATTCAATGAAAGACAGATTTAGATTAAAGTTTATTTAATAAAACTACACAGAGGTTAATCACTAACGACTCCATAGTCCGATCTATATTCCGAAGTAGATCATACGAACAAACCAATATGTGCCTTAGACATATATTTAAAAGTTACTGCAACAATATTGTACTTAACATTAAAACTACATTTTGATAAAGTCAATATGTTGTTCACTATAGAGTTGATGTTCCCGCATCACAAAGTTTTCAGCTTTTACTTTCCATTCTAATAGCAGACACGAGATAAATTTTTCATGTACAAATTCGTAGAGTAGGTACACATATGCCAAACATTTCAGACGTTATAAAAATATCATATACCTAAATTTTCATATATTACAGTTATGATCCAACAATATCATAATTCAATTTAAATTTACAATTGTAATCCCTTAACCTATAATAACGTAATGCTGCAATGCATTGTAATTACCGCACGACAAACTGAGGAGAGATCATACACCCCTTTTTAGCAATCTCTTATTAAATTATGTACAATTCTATTTGTATACGTTTCAAACGTACACATCTTTACTCTTTACGATAAGCGAAATATTTAACGAATCAAACATTGGATAAATCATAATTATTTTCCGAATATGACATTCAGTTACATCGAAGAACATTGACAGACAAGATAAAACTTATTCTATTGCACATTTTAAAATAATGTAAAAAAATTAAGTCAATTTATTTTAATAAATACACGTATCAGATAAGAGAAAAACTGCAACAGAATACGGTTTCGCACATTTAGCTGTGCCGAGATATATCACTCACGGACAGTTGTATAGCAGGTTGCAACGGGATTTCAGATGAAGTTTCTGAAGTGTCCGAGCCCGGAGTTAACAATCTACGAGACCATTGCGTTCCATCTTCCATTTCAGACTCCCGGACGTCGATCGACGAAGGCGAACCGATCGTCGACTCCACAGAGGACACGGCGCGCTCTACAACGTCATCTGTCAAAATTGGCATCGATTTGCCAACTGCGTCATCGTCTGTGAGCAAAGGCATGGAAATAGGACCACTCATCACGGGAACGTCCACGTCTTCGGTAGTAACGAAAGTCATTTCGGTGTTAGGGGATTGCAACAGTGACGTACCATAATTCGTTCCGCTGAGCGGATCGGTCGTCTTGGGGGCAATTCTAGGGTCGGTCACCGTGATCGGCAATTCTAGAGATGTCGGGATCGCATGAGGCGTGACGCCTATGACGGCCAGACCGTCCTCTATATTTGAAGCGACCGTCGTCGGTTCACAGTCCACCTTGGAAGGCACCTCGACTGGTGTCATTATAGGTTGATTCAGCGTGGTGCTAGTTTCCGATACACGACAATGCACTGACACGTTGGCATTCAGATCTCTGAAATCTGGTGCTTCGTCTCTAGGAGGATCTGCGTGAAACACATCGCTGTTAGCAAGCGCCGCTTCCAAGATGTCCCTTCGCTCCGGTTGTGGAGCGAGAATAGGCAAAGGCTCAACGGCCATAGGGACGAGCTGATTGTTTTCGAGGACCAACGGTCGATTGTCGATAGGAGTAAGAGTTCCGTTGTCTTCCACACAGAGATAAAAGGAACCTGGAGGTCCGCCGAAATGTTCGCCGGGCACAGCAAGCAGCTGGCCGTCAGCCAGAGGAGCGGCAGGTGGCGGCGCCGGTTCCGGCGGCGATATTACCGGCGGAGTCACTACAGGAGGCACTACTACAGGTGGCGGCGCAACTGCAGGCGTTAAGACTGGCCGCTGTACAATGAGTTCTGGCTGGCGAACGATAGCCGTCGACGGCAGCATCTCTTCGATATTATCCAAATCCTCGTAGGGAGCAGTTGTTGTTACAGAAACCGTGTTCGATATGGACGGTCCTATGGTAGTTACGACGTCGTTGGATAAAGGAGTGAGAGCTGGCGGCGAAACGACAGGAACGGGCGCCGGAGCGATCGCTATCTCTTGTTTGACTTTTTTCGTTGGCATCGACGAATCAGACGCGGTTTTTCTTACCCTTTTATGAACAATATTCGGCACCGGTTCACCGGGGGTGATCGTGATCGTCTTCTGAAAGACGGGTTTGTTCTCTACGGGCACAGGTATTTTTTGTATGAAATGACCGGATCTCTGTATTTGCTCGAACTGTGATTGCGTGAGCTGTACGACGGTTCCAGATTTTTGTTGTAATAATATTAACGGCTCTGGTGATGTCTTTTGAACGGTATGTAAAATCTTTTTGGGTTCAGAAGAAACGATCCGTTTGGTGAGAGGTCGTATCTCGGGCATCGGAGCTATGTTTTGAGCGGTAGTCGCCACACGACCTCCGACGATTAATTGACCTTTTGATGTGATGATGGCGCTTTTCTGTTTCGGGACAATTCTAGTTTGTGTTTTACCCTGTGGTCCCGAAGAAACCATTTGTTTTTGAGTATTGCCGACGTTCGTCGATATCCTATGTGTTATAGTTTTTAATTGTGATGGAGTTTGTGGTTGCTGTTTATTTGGGAACAAGATTTTTTCATGTTCCGACGTTAAAACTATCCTAGACTGTGCTCCTTGAGCATTAGTTATAATCATAACTGTATTACCAAGGCCACTTGCATCCGATGAGGATGGTATTAATTTTGCCGACACAGGTTTATTGTCATTGACGTTCATAGATGTGTCTGGAGTTTTTGCTACTAAAACGTGCGCTTTGCCCGTTTGTGGATCTATAACGATTTTCTGAGTACGTCCCTGACGAGGTGTAGTAGCAGTTGGTAATAAAATGAACTTTTCAGCTTTGCTTGTATTTTGTGTAACAGGTTGGATTAACGTTGGTGCCTGTTTCATTTCTTTCAATGGAGGTTCAGATTTAGTCATAATAATTTTTTGTTTGCCTGTAGATTTATCTATAACTAGCATTGGTTTTGCGCCCCGCAGTTTTGATGATTTAGATAAGATATTTGGGGTGGTAGAAACTTTATTAACTTCATTAATCGGATTCACCAATAAAGTTTTTGATTCAGATTTACTTGCGCCAGCACTTATCACTAATTTTTCTGATTCAACTACAGTTTGTTTTGTTTTAACGAGTTTGGGTGGCGTAGGTGAATTCGTTATCAAGTTTCCATCTGACATTACGATTGGCATTTTATCTATGCTTTCTGGAGTCAACAGCTCTTCAGACAAAACTATTGGCATCGAGTTTATGTCAAATACAGTATCATCTGACGGTATGGTCTCTTTAGGTTGTTTTGTATCTGTTAATTGTGATATAAGTGAATTTGGAGGTCTGCTTTTTTGCATTTTCGTTGGCATTTTTTGTACTTTTCTAACCTTTTGCTGAATAATTGTAATAGTGTTTGTGTCTGACGGTGTATCTGGAGAACTTTGTATAGTATAAGTTTGCACTGACGAACTGTCTTGTTGAGGTTTATTACTTCGAGACAACACAATTTTCTCAGAGGTGGCTATTTCGTTAAGGTTGTTTATCAAAGTTTTATTTCCGGCAGCACGTCGTATAATAACAGGAGACTTTCCTTTCAGTGATTGTTTAGCAACATCAAAATTCAGAATCTTCTCTTTTCCTGGAATTAATATTTGTTTAGTGGGAGTTTTCTTAATCATTTTTGGTGCACATGGTTCTTCCAATATCTTTAATAGTTTTGACGAAGTTGTCTCATATTTAACAGATTTAGTATTAGTTAAATCGTTACTATTATCACTAGATAACGATGCTACATTTTGTTCAACTGTATTTATTTTATCTATACCATTGTTTTGTTTAATGTTGACTGACTCTGATTTTGATATCTCTGGAGTATTAATGTTACTCTCAATTATATTTAATTTATGATCTACTGATTCTGACATTTGTACTAATGACTGTGCTGCATTTAAATTCTCACTCTTCTCTTGTTCTGTCTCAAACCGGATATTGATATTTTCGTTATCAGTAATCAAAGAATGTTCTACTGTTCCTAAAACGGTAGTTTCAGATTTTGCTTCATAAATATTATTATCAATTACAACATCTTCCATTTTCTTATCTTCACTTTCAGTGATAGTCGGAACTTCTATATTTTCTGCAGTAGTTGGAACTTCAATACTGTCAATAAGAGTTGGAACTTGAATATTTTCAATAGAAGTTGGAACTTGAATATTTTCCATAGGAGTTGGAACTTGAATACTTTCAATAGGAGCTGGGACTTGAATACTTTCCATAGGAGTTGAAACTTGGATATTTTCTACTGAAGTAGGAACTTGAATATTTTCTATAGAAGCTGGAACTTGAATGTTTTCCATGGGAGTTGAAACATTAATACATTCCATATTTTTGTTATGTATTGCAGTTGCAGGCAAGTTAATCAGAGCTTCAGCTATTTGCAAGTCGGATTCAGATGGTACACTTTCAGCAACAATTTCTGAAGAACATTCAACATTAACTTGTTCTGTTTCAATAAAAACTTCATTATTAGCGTTATTTGATAACTTTTCTTGAATATTTTGAACAATTTCAGATTCATTATTACTTTCCACATTATTTTCTATTAACAAATTTACATTTTCTTGAACTATTTCTGGATAGTCCAACTTACATGTTTCACTTAATTTATTATGATCAATTATATTTCCATTTACATTATTTGTTGCATTGTCTTTAATGTCATCTTCAAACAAATCTTCTGGAGGATCGTCGCTTATAATTTTAGTAACTCTATCAGGATCACGTGAAACACTTAACAGGGCATCTACAGCTGAAGCAGTGGATTCGTTCATATAAGGTTGGTTTATTTTTTCTGTTAACTTTTCTAAGGCAGGTTGAGAGATGCTTTCTTCAGGAGTGAACTGGACTCTTTCACTAACTTTTGCACTATCTTGAACATCATTGGTATTTGATTCATTTATTTCTTCTGCAAAATTGTCGTTATTTCCAATATCATCACTTTTAGTCACTTTTTCTACTTTAGAAGGAGGGTTAGGAGCACCTTTTAAAGTTTTGGTTTCTTCATAAAATAGTTCATTAATTGGTTTTATTTCTTGTGTGGGGTAAAGAACGTCTTTTGGACTAGATGGTACACTTCTTTCATTAGTTTCACTTGACTGCATAGATTCTGTATTCACTATTGCATTAGAGGTATTTTCATCATTTCTGTTTGGGTTTTCGATACACGTGTCCTCTCGTATTGTCTCCATTGCAATTTTTTCTTTTTCACGTAATTGAGCAGCCTCCGCTTTCATTTTCTTGAGTTGTATTTTAGGTGCTAGTCGTGCAACTTTAACATGCTCGATTGGCGGCGATTCTCTAGCTTCTGGCGATGACACGGCATCGGAACCATTGATTTCATTCTCCGACATGTCCATTCGTTCCACAGCATTCAATTGTTCCGCAACATATTTGCCTATGGCGTCTTGACTCCTGGAGTGTCGACTACGAAAAAACGTTTTCGTTTTGAAAATAGCTTTAGTAAGTTGAGGTTCAGTCACAGATTTTTCAACACCTCGGCTTGGTTCTGGCGATTTAGTTATTTGTTTATCTGGAGATTTAACAATCGAAGGCTCAGGAAAATTTTCCTCTACTTTCAAAGGTTCTGGCACAGACGGCAGCTCAGGAACTGTAGTCTTGTTGAGCAGTTCGGCAACTTCCCTAGCCATATCGTCGTCGTCCAAACTGAGACTCTTGGTGTCGTCTTTCCGTTTTGAAGGATTCTTAACACGAGGTATCTTCCTACCTGCATCGGCTTCAAGTGGCCAATCTTCATCTTCACAGAATTCATATTTAGAATCGCTAGTTGATTCTGACTTTTCGACGGGCGTTTCCTCAGGCTTCTTATTTATGGGAGATGGCATCTCCAACGGGAGTCGTGCAGTAGGCAATTCCGCAGCAGTAGGTACTACTGGTGACTCAGCTGCTACTTCGGGCACTTCGGGTGATGCGGCCACAGCTGTCACCGCACCATCGTTTGATTCTTCTTCTTCTTCCTCCACATCATCCCAGTCAGCCAATAGACTACTCTTAATTTCTTGATCGGTCTTTAGCTTTTTAGTTTCGGAAACATGTTTAGAATCATCACTGGCACGTTTTTGTCCATGGGATGGTTTTGTTGAAGTTTTAGCAGGCTTCTCTTTACGCGGTCGCGGGGCTTTGGGTGACTTTGATGTACTTGGGGTAGATTTGTTTATCGGTTTTACTTTTTTCTTTGCTGGTGTATATGGCATAAAGGTTACACTGTGCGTTTTATTATGTAAAATTAAAACATTAAGACGTGATGTTGAAAATGAACATGCATGACATGAGTAGATACCAGGAGTGGATACCACTGGTGTACTAACAGTAAGTTTGTCTGGTGTTTGAGGAGGATTCTCTGCTATCTGCTCAGTTTCTTTTGTGTCTTGTACGGGATCAACTTCTATGCCACTTTCAGAAGTTCTAGTAGCCTCTGATAGTTTGGGAGGTGTAGATGAGCCTTGTACTAAAATATGCACTTTGTAATCTGTTTTTTCCGTGAGCTGAAAACATTAAATTACATTACTCTAAATATTTGATTTCTAGTAACAGACAAAACATGACTAATATTAAGAGTAAATATTTTATTGTTAGTATGTTTGTTTGCATTGAATAACTCCGTAACAAAGGATTGATTTAAAAAATCTTTCACCTTTGGAGCTACATTGTACAGGTGACATAGACTATAATTTACGCAGGCGAAGGCGCGGGAATATTGATGTTTATGACAAACTTCTGTCTGTTCTCAAATGTATTTAAAAAACTATCAATTTGCATTAACTGAATTACTAAAGCCATATCCAACCATTGCATTAGATGTGCAAATGTTTACATTTTTGTCTATATTCTCCATTATATAGGGTGTACATTATAAAATGGCCAGTATGCAAAAGACTGCATTCATACATAAAAATAACTCATTTCTCAGTTTTGGAATTGAACCCAGACAATTTGAAAAATAAAACTACTGATTGTGTAGGTCTTAAGCAGTTAATGTTACTATGAAACATGATCTGTAAAATGCTGTTTATTATATATTTTATTTTAGTTTGTGTTTGAAATGATAACCATTTTTTCTTTCAATAATTCCTTTGAGAGCCTTAAATTGTCTCTAACATTATTTGTTTCATTTTATACATCAAATTTTATAAGATAAAACAATAACTACTGTTTAAGAACTACGGCGCGGTCGCTGAATAGTGAGAATATTTGCACCTACTCAACAATAAGAACATTAATAATTTATTTCAAAATAAATCCTAAGCTATATACATACATATATAAAAGCTTTAAATAGATATCGTTAAACTTTTAAATTCACTTTAATATGACAAAATTGGTTAGAGTGCAATATGTTTGCATATGAGTGAAAGAGATATGTAATGCCAATTGTTCAGAAAGTTTTTTAGCTGACAAGAAGAACAGACTTTCCCATAATGACCATTGTTAATGTTACATCCTATGTATTTAGCATAATGTGACTAAAATATCTTATGTTATTATATCAATTAATAATTCTACCTTTCTAACCGGTGTTCGTGGTTCTGCAGATCGTCCTCTACCCTTGCCTGGAATAATAAACAAATTGATACTTCCAGCATTCCACAGGTGGATCTATTCAAGTTATTATTTTACTTTAAAGAAAAGAGATAAGATGATAGAAATGAATATAAAATAGAAGAGAAGATGATAGAAGAGAATATAAAATATACTAATATTGTAAAATAATAAAAAAAAATAGAAGATACACTAATTTAGTAAGTGTTTAACATGATACAAGGCAGAGCTTACTCTTTTTTCCTGAGCTGGGGGTTTTGGAAGTACTGCCAAATAGACCTTCATATGCTTTCTTCTTTTTGAAATCTTTCTGAAATTCATCTCTTGTCAAAATCTCTATATCACCACCCACTGCTGTTTCTGCCCGAATAATGTCCTCAGGAAATTTTTCCATTGGTCCATTACTAGATCTGAACAAATCTATAACAAACAAATAAAATATTAGAAACACAGTTTCACTGTATGTTTTAATAGCGACAATGAGGAAGTATTTAAAAAAAATAGTCCCCGAAATCAAACTTGATGTTGCTACGATACGAACTTGATTTCTCTATGACAACCCTTCCGGTTTCTTTCATGTTTAAAAGTAAATTATTTTCAAAACTCAATTAACAACTCATATGCTATTTGTACTTTTTCATATTGTATTGATATCTAAGTTTCGAAACTTTCCATCTCTGTTTTTTAATATGTTATAAGGAATGGAAATGACTGTCTTTGGTCCATTAGTGTCCTGCAAAAATCAATTTTATTAGAGTTGCCACCTAGTGGAGGTGCTTTTAAAGTGCTTTCTTTTTTTTTAATACTTCCTCATTGTATTAAGAGCTTTCTACTTACGTAATCCTTTTGTGATAAATTCATCTTTCCTACTGCAATTATATTTGTAAATTGAGTTAGCATTCTTCACATATTCACTGAAATGAAAAAAATATATATTAATTAATTATACTCTAGTTGTTCTTAATTAATCTCTTGAAAAGTGTAAAAAATTATGTTGTAGTGAGCAGTGTAGGCTGGGGCCAATCTAGTTGATTAAAAAAAAATTTTTTTTTATGCCAATATATATAAAATATATGCTACAACTCAAGGTAGATAGATGTTGACATAAACTTCAAATCAAATCAAATTAAGCACTTGTGAAAGTCTAAACTATATGCCATCAGTTTGTAAATCTATAGTGGGAGACTTTGTACTAACAAGAATCACTAAGAAACTCGGCAAGGGCTGCTTTTTCTCCATGTTTTATTTCATACAGTTACCAAAGAGATTTAGATTACCAATATTTGACATTATTTGAATAAAGTCTACTATTTAGTTATGAAATTGTAATTCATTCTCGTCATGTAAAAATGCTATTATTTTAATTTCCAAATATAAAAATTCAATTGTAACAACTATTCATCGAATATAGTTAAGTTTAAATTATGATTTTAACATATTTTGACTACTTAGGTTTACTGAAATAAGAGAACCATAATCATATGCAGAAAAAAATCTCACAACATTATACAATATATACAACTTAATGTTTTTTTTTATAAGAAATATTATTTCTTAATTGCATCTTTTGTTTTATAAAATATGGTTTTGTGGCCCCTGGATATATAAGAATCTTCTCTTATTGATAATAGGCATGACAACAAATTTTTGTTTATTTGCCTGTCAGATAGATTGTTAAAAGATATTAAATATGTATTTTTTTATTTCATTTGAAATCATTAAATTACAGCGATACATTGAGTTAAAATGTTGCGTGACATCACACTATGGTACATTTTCTACAAAACTGTGACGTAGCGAGCCCCCACTCCTCAACTTTAATGCCTGTTATCTAAGCTACTTCTTGTTAAATTGAAGTAAAAAAAAATAGGTATCTAATATTTTTCTATTATCTGTCTGACGGATTAAATAGTATATCTTGTTATTTACGCAGTCGTCATCCCTATTACAATGAAGACCAATACTTTTGTGTTGAAATCTCATTTTTGAGAATATTGAATCCCTGCTAACTGGTTTATTTGATATATATTATGGTGACTGTATAACTAAAAACTAGTATAAATAAGACAGTTTAAAATAAGATAATTTGTCTTTTTACATAGATCACAATCACAATTTCATATATACACATGAAAGAATTTCAGATCTTTGCTCATACAAACCATAAGGACCATTACACACATTTTAGTCACCTGACATTAATGTGCAGCACGTAAATAAAGTTAGTTTCATCCCACCTCTTTCATATATATGCGATTGTTGGGGCTTATTTATTCAACACCTAGTTATAAACATTTCTAAGTCCTAGTGCTATACAGCTTTCATTGTAATCACCTGATTGAACATTCTACATAAAACAAATTTTAGACAGCTGTAGGGAAAATTGAATACTCAATAAATGATCTGTACTAGATAAATCAGTAAGCATGTGATAAGCCCTTAATTCAATAGGAAAAATATAAAAAACTAATATGACAAAGATGGCCTGATCATTAAGAACTTAATTTTGAAACTAATAGTTGAATTTCTAATCATATAGACCACGTAAATAGACAACACCTAACAACATAAGAACAAAGGTTTTCGTTCATTTCTATTTTTTTGTAAACTTTTAGAGTTTCAGAGAGTAGTACTTTACAGGTTATATTTATAAACTTACTAAGTATCTTCTTGAAAGAACTTGACAACTGCTATTGGAGGTTTACGAAATGAAGGCAGGACATCTGGAGGGAGCTTCTCTGGGGCGACGACCTCGCCGGGCCACCAGCAGGAGCCCAGTTTCACCCATACTACTTCCCCATCCAAATAATTTATTTCAGTCTGCTCACACATCACCACTTATCTGTTCAAACGAAATGCACGACCATATTTTGTCAACTAGAGCTAGTATGCCGACTGCAACTGTTGCAACAACAAGTTCATTTTAATCACACATTATCCATTATCATTCGCCTTTATTTAGCTAAATGCTATAGCAGTCACTATTTATCAATAAATGCCTTGAATTTGTCAAAACGTTAGCAAAATATTAGTTGTAAATATCACCGACTGCGTACGAAATAATTTCTATGCTCGTGTTGTTGGTAGTACTGAGTAACGTAATACCTCAAAAACGAGATTGCAGCAATAATCACAATATTTCATAAAATCATTTTTTATTATTTAATGCAATTAATTTTCAATTTTATGTTTTTATTAACTTGCTACGTGATAAAAGGAATTGTAATTTTTAACCGGAAGATAGATTGTAGGTTGGCGTCAGCGAATACCAACATTCTGATATTATAATGAAATGTTGCCAGTATGCTTTTTATTTTTATTAACCATAAAGAAATATTGTCTATAATACCGTATTTAATTATTAAAGTTTGATTATTCTAGGGCAGACGAAGAAGACGGTCTATGACACAAATATTATATGAGCGTCAAAAGAGAATACTATATTTAGTAGCCAATATCGTTCCCACAAAGTTCTGCGTTTTGCTCTACGATATAAGGGGCGCCATCTATTAGTTGCTGACCAAACCCGCAAAACAACAAGTAATATCCGCAGAAAAAAAAAACAATCATTAAAGGGTCTACGAAAGAGAGAATCAGCAATACCTAGGCATCGTTTACTTTAAACGCTTAAAACTTTTCCGGCCGATTATTATTCGCCAGTCCTAGGAACCAATGATTACTAATATAGACTTTCGTGCGAATGACGAAAAAAGGTTGTGAACGAGAGAGACTAAACAAGAGTGTAATATAACCTCTATAAATGTAACAATATTCTGTGTTCTCAACGATGTATAAATAAGGTAGTAAATGCCAAAAATCTTTGGTAGCTCGCCTATGAGTTAGGTTCTTGGAAAAGCATAAGACACAGTACCAAAACAAAATTGCTAAGGTCGTTTTAAAATCCGAGGGCAGTAAAACGAACAATTCACCTTTTTCCTGTGGTTTTCCTCTCTTAGTTAGCTCAAAAGCTTTTTTATATGTACAAACAAAACGTTTTAATAAAAAGAAAAACTAATTATTACCAAAGACTAGGCTGTATGAGCTTTTGATGTCTTTGCATAAAGAAGACCATAATATAAAAAAATGCACTTGTTCGTTTGGCGCGAATCCGAAATTCCGAGACATTCTTATAAAAAGGAAAAAAAATATTTTGAATATTTATTTTGAATTGTGTCTATTTTATTTTATTTTTATCTTGTGTTGCTCTGTAATAGTGACGATATGGAAATTAATTACTAAAATAAAGCAGTGTATGTATTAAAAACAAGCAATAAATAGAAGAGGAACTGCTATGTCTTTCCTAAGGAGATAATATACATAAGCGAGAAGATAAGATACAGGAACATAGGGTATGTTCCGATATACACTGCGACCACTGAACAGTATGACGTCAATTTAGTATACTGGAAGCCCGTTCCTTTATAGCTAGTTATACTGGTGACTTTTTAAAACGGAACGCAGTCCAGTATACTGTTAATCCTATTTTTTGGCGCCATTTTCAAATTTGTTAATGCAAGGTGAATATAAATATAAAAATTCCCTCTTTTCAAAAGAAAATATTATAAAATCGGAAAATTGTATAAAAAAATTATTTATCCATCTTATAATAAACGTAAGTATTTTTATTTGTTTATTTAGAAACTTATAATTTTCTGATTCTGTTTCGACTGATCACGTGATCAAAAGCACTGCGAGCACCTTACGTCGAAATCTCCAGTGCTCACAGTACAAATATGGCGGCAATTTATGACGTCATGAATTTCCCTAGGGTACTGTAGCAGTGTACTGGCAGTCCATAACGGAACGGATTTTTCAGCAGTAAGACCACTGCGCAGTGCTCGCAGTATATATCGGAACATGCCCACAGTAAAGATATCTTTAATATGTTCCTATATCTTTAAATCAATTTTGATGATCTCCTGATACTTCCAAGAAATACTTGTCGTCGTTATGAAAACAAGATAAATATTTATGTGTGAATTAAACGGTCATTGCTCATGGGCGTACGTATAGTGTCAATAATAAAGAAAGTTAATAATACAGCTGTATGAATTTGAAATTATCTTAGATATCATATAATTAACTCTCTCTTATCTCTTAGGCATATTGAACCGAGCAAGCTGGATTTGTAAAGGAAGACGAGAGAATTTAACTTATCCCTTTATATTATATTTTAGATTTCCGCAAAGTATTTGATACGGTACGGTATGGACATACTTCGTGAAAATACTTGCGAAAATTGGTGTGCCATTCATTTGGTAACCCTTTTGAACAGACCAACACAAAAAGGCGTCAAAATTGTAAAATGATGTTTAACCATGATACTATTTATGATGGACAATTATATATCGAATTAACTAATAAAACTTCAATGTAAATATAGATAGGTATATATTTAAAAAATATTTCTTTATTAAGCACCCCTAGACTCAATAATTTATTTATAATCAATTAATTATGTTAACTTAAATAATTAATCTAGATCTACTTAGTCTTATGGACTAATAACATTATAAGTAAATATATACAAATTAGTTTAAATAGGTACATAAAACAGTTTAACTGATAAATAAAAACTTGTACAGAGCATTATAAAGTTCGTATAATAGGTACATAGGTATATTATTTATTTTTAATTTTGTTAAATGACAATGAAACAAATGTTTTATTGTAGTGTATTTTATTGTACTAAATTATACTTTTTGGTTCCATTACGTTTGTGTGTAAATGCTTGCAAAATTATTATACGAGAATTTTGTTTATTATAGTTAAGTGTATATGTGGTCCATAGAATTTTGCTCGACGTAAAGGTGTTGATACTCCAAATTTTACTATCTCGCGACCAGTTATAACTATATTTAATTATTTTGCAACATTCAACAATTTGGGTAGTATCGTTTCTAATAATCCGAATAAAATGGTATAATAAGCTAACGTACTATAAAACTTGTCATGAAGGTATCTTCTTGTCCTATTAATCGTAGCCAAGTCGCATATATTTCCATAATTATATCTTGATATTTATCAGCTAAATTGACGTAACAATAATTCTTAATAGAAACCAGTCTAAAATTTGTTTTTTTGTTTTGTAATCTGTGTCTTTCTTTACTGCGGGTGAAAAAATGAGGTTTTATAATACATTAATGTAAGTAGTTTATGAATATGCAATTTACAGGCAAAGCTTTCTAAACGCCTTTTTCCTATCCACTAATAAAGTTTCTATCAGTAGTATCATTAGTAAGGTAAATATCAACACTAGAACAATGTCTGTGTATTTCTAAGTAAGAAAATAGGTATTCAAAGTTTAATTAAATTTAAAAGAAAATAGATGTGTTGGATGCGACTATCAAGGGGTCAACCAAGTCGCTATCTGTACATGTAATTTTTAAAAGACCCATAAACAGCAAATTGTGTATATATATGATAACAGCTTTTTCTGCTTTTCCACTATAGTATTATATCAGCAATTTATTTGAACTTAATTTTTAATCATGAGAAGATGATATACTAGGATATTGTGATTGTTTAATGACAATATCTCTGGAATTTAAATGATTGTGCAATAATTGGTTAACTTTGTGGTTTCCAGAAGATTAATAAAATTATATCATATGCCTCTATGATATGTGGTGAATCTACGTAAATTTAATCGTATGATAGGAAACATATTAACTCTATGAGTAAACTATTTTAGCCTGCATATTGACGGACGATCTTAGCCCATTGTTGCGGGTAGTTGCGCTGCACGTAAGAGAGTGTACGTTGGATCTGCTTTGTCTCTTGAGGCGAACACTGTGGACAGGCACCACGTAGTACCAGTGGAGCAAGAGCTGAGGGACAACACGAAGAAAAACTCGTTAATATTTATAATATTCTATTTAAGATGTAGTATAAAAATTTCACGGGCAATTGTCAAGAATGCAAGGAAACTACATAAGTGTATGTCTATGCTGTTACGTACAATCCTAAAATAATTGTGAACTAGATTCACATATACATCAAGTATTCATTAAAAAGTTAAAAATACTTATTATCAAACTTAATATTTTGACATCTAATGGAACCAGTGAAAACTTTTCTGAACACTTATTTATACACCTCAATGATGTTAAATTCAAGTGGCAGTTATAAGACACACTAGACAATTTATTTTACAAATTATATTATTATTTATTTAACGATCAACGATATCATAAACAGCTAATCAAATTAAACAAGTTCGACACTTAATCCTAATCGACATGTACTTCCTACATAAAAAGAAGGTGGATACATCCTAAAATCGTTCGACTAATTGCATGCATACCCCTGATCGTATATAGTGAGATACTTAGTGGGTAATACCCTTTTCTTGAAATTTTTTAGATCTTTCGGTTCACAAACAAAATAATTCTTAAACCCTAATGCCCTTGGAAATATATCATTACTTTACAAAACTCTTGAAGTCATGAAATAGCACAAGATACTTACTCTTCAGTCTTTTTCCAATAGGGTCACATGGTGCTTCTCCTAAAGCACATTTGAGTTGTCTCTGTATAAACCGCTTGTCATTCAGTGCGTCTTCGAGGGCGGTGTCCGAAACTTGCGGGCGTTGTGTTTGCGCTTGCGCAACGCACGCCCACACACATCCACACAGAACTAATATATGGCTTATCTGAAAGAATAACATGGTTAAATTAATTATTTTAATTAGATGCATGATCTGGTTGCTAAGAGGGAAAGAATTTGTTCTGCACTTATTAATGGTCATTGCTTTCTTATAAGGTATGGTTTGCTTTGAAACGCATTTATCACGCTTGCTTGACGTAGCTGTAATTTAAATACTATTTATTTTGAGAAAGCAATTATTCTCAAAAAATTATATAACAGTCATATTTTTATAAGATTTTTTGCGACCAACTACTTCTTTAACGAATTGCCAAATTAAAAATAAATACCACTAAAGTGGTCAACGGACGAGCTGACATGAAATAAGATGATTAACATAGATACTTATATAGACCAGCAATTTGACGGCCAGTTTTCTAATTTCCTGCGATTCATAATCTTAGTCGTTAGCTTGCGTAACAGTGACATAAGTAATGGAGACACAATTATGTATGTTAGTAGATAAGCAGCTATGCTTCATTTCTTAAAAATTGAGTCAGTCAAATTTGAAAGAACATAAAACTTCACCTGAAACTATCTACATAATTATGTTAAACAGTATAAGACAACCTTTAATGGCCTTTTATAAGCGTGCTCTTGTAGCGCAGAACCGACAGACATTGAGGAATATAAAAGGCGAACAAAATAGTTTAGGTCAAAATCACCGAAAAATGATTGGCGAACCCTGAACCTCAATAAATACATTTATTTAAATACAAGGAAAATAAATATAAAACAGAAGAACAAATAAAAATAAGGAAATGTGCTTAAAAGGCTTAAAATTAATAAATTGGTTTAGGTTAGTAAATAATATGAATACATGGGGAATATCCGGAATAAAGATTATTACAGAGCATTTTTATTCTTTTAGAATTAATGTACGGCCTTTTATCCACTGTACACACTTTACAGACATGACCTTCCTCAACCGGTTTCCAAGAAATAATATTTCCAGAAATTTATCCGTATTTTTCTGTTATATGCAAAAATCAGATAGAGGACTGAACAGAATCACAGGATAATTTAAGAAAGTATTAATACAATAAAAATACTGTGCATTCTATGTAAGTTACCTAATTCACATAGTTACATATTTATCGCATTGAACGAAATATCAATATATTACTCATTTATCTATACAAAGAATATTTCGTATCGTATCTACACCATAATGCAATTGCGAAATATGGGAAAACCATGAGCTAAGGTCTTGTATTGCGTATAGTGATACCAATGAGGTAGTGCTCTTTGTACAGACGGGTTAACAAATAATATTTGTATGTATAACTTTTTATTTCAAAAAAATTTGTGCTTATAAATAACATGACACAGGTAGATAAATTAGATTTTAATCGTTAAGTTTTACCTGAATCAAAAGTACCTACTAAATTTGGTATACGCGGCTACGCCAGTCTTCACAGATTTATCTTTCAACCTCCTTAAGTTAAGTATAACACCTAATAGATACTTTTTTTCTAAAATTACTATGGTTTTAAAGTTACAAAGAAGTCCAACTATTATTCCAATTTGTATTTTTATTTTTTGTATATTTTTAACACTCCAATATCTAAGATTCCAATGTAAAAACCAATAGAAAATAGGAATCGGATTATAAAATAATCTCAAACAAAATTGTGGTAAAACTCTCTCGTTGAGTTGGTACTTTATATTATTATATAGATTGGCTTTTGCTGCGACTTCATATTACTTTAGTTATATAGTTATTTTTAATGACGAAATCCCATACAAAATTTACTTAAGGACAATAGTAACCTATATCCTGTACCATAAAGAATTAATATATTTTCTTTTTACACTTGAAAGTCGATACAAATATATATAAATAAAAAACATACTTCGCCGTCACACATATAACCTCCTCCTTGTTGATTTTGAAGTCGATTTAACACTAATAAATCAGTGACAGTATAATAACTTATATTCAAATTATTTTAACAGTTTTCTCGGCATCTGTACTTTGTTATGTTACTAAACAAAAGATTCACAACTCTTAAATGTACGTGCTTTGAAACTAGATGTGTTGAATGAGTAACCGTTGGGTCACCTCTTTATAATAGTTGAGGACTGGGTCGTACACTGATGACACATTTACAAATTATTCACAACGTAAGGGTAAGGGAAATATTTAAATAATCCGATTACATTTTTGAAAAATGATTCATTCGTACTTTCGGTCATTCTTCGAAGATGCTTAAATCAAATTTGAAAACATCACCGATTTAAAGCGACAAAAATTAGGTTATATGAAAGAAACAGTTTGTACGTTATATATTTCGCTAATTTCGCTTTAACCTTCGCTAAAAAATTTTGTAATAAATTTGAAGATCTGGAGATAATATAAAATCAATGTAAGTTTGTTCTCACTTTCTCATCTCTCATGAAGCTTTTTTGTATATTTATTCTACAGTATCATTTTGTTTTGATAAAGAAGTTGATAAAAATCTAATACTGAATTAGATTTTTATCATCTTCTTTATATAGGAGCAACCTCGTTATGTCTGAAAGGAGTCCATTTTCGTCCATTGCTTTTTTAATTTCTTGCAAAATTTTGTTGTTATGTAACTAGATAGGTACATAAATGTAGATTTGAAAGCTATCTGACTGAAACTTATATATGAACAAAAAACGTTACAATTTTAAATTTTACTCTACATACACCACGAGAACCGAGTTTATTGAAAATCTCGACGATTAAACTTAAAAAGCTAACGTTTGTATTGAGGACTTTTTTGCCCAATATGATTATTGGAAGAAGCAAATTATATTTTTTTCTTAGTAAATATTTTTTTAAGTCAATGAGACTGGTAGGTATAGTTATTTGCAATATTAATCTATGTTGGTAAATGACATCCATAATTATTGACGTTTGATAAATATTGGGACACTTGATTCTTGGCAATATGATCATATGTAAATATTATTTTTGTAATAGGTTAAAAACACATATTTTGTTCAAAATCTCTTGATATTAATGAATTTGCAGTAACTTTTAAGAGGTTTAAAGATATTTATAAATTGTGTCTTTTTTTTATAAATAGGTATTATTTTTGCTTTTAACACTACTTTTTCGCTGTTTCTACAATGGCTAACGTACTAGTTCACCGGCCTATTATTTGAATGTTTCGCAGATAACGGCATAAGAGAAATCTCGGGAGACAATAGATAAGTAGATGAAAAAGCAATGTCAGTAACCTTGAAGATCATTGCAATAGAGCCTCAAGAATTTGAACTTTTTTATTCCACTAGGTTTTTTGTATAAGGACAACTTTATCATTCTAGATACACAGTACCTATTTTTTACTTTTATAACTTTGGCAACTTTTCATTAATAATTTTTTAAATTATTATCTGTCGCAGTAAAAGATCATCATTTATAGCGTATATCACTTGAGTGTATGAGCTTCCCGTAGGTGAAAGAATTTTAAAATCGGTCCATTAGTTTGCAGTCTGTTCAATGCAAAAAACAAACAATAAACCTTGCCTTTTTAAAATTATTAGTTTGCATATAGTTTCCTAAGGAGATCTTTTTCCGGGATACAAAGCTTCTATTACACACAGTTGACAGTACCTTCACATAAAAAACCTTTCTTTTGAACTTTATTTGAACTTCATTTCAACACTATAAACTTTGAGTTTTAAGAGATTTGACAGATAATATTTTTGTTGATAAGATTACATATTTATGCAATCAAGTATGTTACTGCACAATTGTGCCAATGTCTAGTGCATAGATTAATTTCTACATGTAAAATCAAAATGAAATGCACAAATTACATAGGGTACGAAATGAAACATCTAGTATGTTATTCTGTTCAAAAACCAGCCTCGAAGTAGTTATCGAATGCACATATAGTTATGCAAATGTAGCGCTGTCACGTCATAGAGCTTCAATGAACCTCTTGAAAAAGGTTTTATTTGATTTAAGCTTTTCTTTAATGTAGAGAAAATTCTTTAAGCATATCCCGTCGCCTGGTGAGCAACGAGGTTATATGGAACTTCCCTCTGAGGGGCCATCTAGCGGTATTCGTTTAATGGACAGAGGCCTACCCACTAAAAACCCTACAGTGTATCCTCTCATGATGGGGGATGGGGGGATGAGATCCAGGAAACCGTAGCCGATTTACCGGGACATCCATTCCCAACTTTATTTACGCTTCACAACTTGACAGCGTTGCATTCTATGACGACTTCGAAGCTGATGTTTCGTATAGAATAAAGTATACTATTTACAACATCTTATCAACAGCTATTTAGCCATTCCAACGTGATAAAGTTCATATTCATATTGCAGGATGAATATATAGTATGATAAAACATTAAATTCATAAAGATATAAAAGTTTATGCCATATTGTAGACATCAGTGTGGCCATGTAACACATATTGTATAGCTAAGTGTTCAAACAAGTGCCAAAGTAATTTTCTCATAAAAGATTCCCCATAGAATCATTATGTTAAACATTTGTAAATAGCTGTCCTTATTCTTCTTTTGAAAAAAAAAAGTAAAACAATTATCTAATATACATAGTTTACGATGGTCTTATTTTAAATGTGTTGTTGTAAGAAATTTTTTTTGAGATTTATTATATTTTCTTAGGTATATACTTTTTACGAAAAACATATCATAATTTAGTTTTTATACGGGATATTAGCCTCTAAGTGTGTGCTAAATATAGGATTATAATGTCGTTGTATTATTTTTGGAAATGAAAAAAGACGAAGTAAATATTTTCTGAAAATATGTATAACTAAGGGTATATTATTTTAACAAGAGTAAATTTTTTGTAAAATTACGTGCTAAAATAACCACAAATATATTATAGAGTATCTGAAACAGCGCAGTCATAACAACATTCAAACTCAAGAAAGTTTATTTTCTACATATATCCGACCGAGAATCGAATCCAAAGTTCGAGCCACTCAGGCACGGAAGAATTCAAGTCTAAATTAATACGTTTTCCATGCATTCAAATTGAATATCCAATTGTTTTTTTTTTCGTGTAATATAAATACACTCATCATTAGTCATTAAAAACTGGCTTTACCCGTTTTAATGAAAATAAATGTTAAACACGATGACACAAACCTTTATTGTCTGTTAGTGCAGTGTATTTTCTCGTTAATTGTATTATACGAATAAATTTTATGTAAAGTTTAAGTAAGAGTTAGACTATTACACCAAAAAGTCCTGTTGTATTATATAGTTCTATGTTTTGTCGTTACTAAAATTTTTTATTATTATTAGACTTGTATATTTTTTTTTCACCAAATTCTATTTTATGAAAACTATGAAATTCTATGAGTATTACACAGTTATTACGTAAAATCGGAAGTAAAAAGAATCAGCACGGGACCAACACGATCGCTGATAAGGTAGGTTATACTCTACTGTGGTTATATTACACGCCATCGCATCATTCTGCGTTATACAACTCACCTAAATTAAACCTACCAATACATCTTGCATTGAGTAATTCATTTTTAATTTTTATGCACTTTATGTACACATTATACAATATTAGGAAATACAAACTTATTTGTTTCATAATCAACCTTATCTCAAGAAAACTGTATTCATAACAAAACACATAAGTATTAATCACTAGTGTAACTCCTAAATTTAGTTTTTTGTCTATCTTTTCTTTTCTTAATTTTTATCTCCAAATTTTGCTTTCCCATTTTCAATTATTGATTGCGATTCTCAGAATCATAACTCAAATAGATATTTTCTACAACTCTACAGTATCCTTCGATGAACAAAAGGTCACCAATTCGAAACATTATCAATAGCATAGTTAATCGTAAATTAAAAATTAGACAACGAGGACGTGAGGTCAATGCAACATTTAGTTGATGTAAATGGTATGACGCAGAATTTTCCTCAAGTTTTAACGTTGAAATAAAGTAAATTATTACGTGATTTTTCTCATAAAAATTATATGAAACGAACTTATTTATATAATTATTAAAATAAATCTTACTTATATCATTAAAAACTCTACAAAGGAGGACAAGGTAGGTAATTTAGTACTTATTTGATCTACATACTTACTAGTCAAAAGCAACTTAAGGACCAGTATAATCTAAATCCAACTGTCCTTCGTTAATTCAACATTCTACATGCAATTTTATAAGAATTTGTCGCATATTAAGTAAACTTTGATGAATTTATTATTTAGAGAAAATGCAATATGCAACTCACCTGCATTTTTCCGTTAAAACCCGCTCTCTTCTCTCGACTTTTACTTTCTTTGCACCAAGTGTTCCTAACGATTGACCCGGATCTCGGAATTATGTTTTCTAAAATATTTCACGGCTGGAGCAGTGAAGCGTTTAAGGCAGCGACTTGTTGGCGAATGCTGCTATGCCGTAACCTCTTACTTAACACAAGCAATCCCCACTTTTAACTCCGTTGCATCGAAGCAGTACTGGGGTCATATTCGCGTTGCGGATTTGTTCCGTTTTTGTACGTGAGTCGTTACATATAGCTACACAGATATGAAATATACTTTCATTATGTCTTTGGAGCTATATTTAATACCTATAGGCATAACGGTGTCAACAGCATATCACAAAAACATCAAGTTAGTAAACAAATATTTATTTATTTACATATTAGTCATACAATCTATATTACAAATTAGGTTAAGAACCCAATATTTGTATACCAATTACTCATAAATTGATTAACAACTTTTGAGTACTTAAGTTTTACAATACAAAATTATAAATAAAGTTCTCTTTAACGGAAGTAAATAAATAAATTTAATTAATAGACAATTAGTTTCGTTGAAATGTGATAAATTTATTAATCGTTTTCATATAATAATTACTGTAATAGTGAGTAAATGATGCTTTACGTAGTTATCGATATAAGTGATAATAGGTACAAATTAAAATACTTCTAATTGAGCCATTATAGTATATTATTTGTGTCTTCAAAGTGCATTGCGTTCTGAAACATATCATCCCTTAACAATATTCACCGGTAGTAGAGATGGAGAGAGATATAAAAAATGAATATTTTCTTCTTATAATAAAATACATTCCAAAGTATAAAATAATAAAAATAAAGTTAATTCATTGTTTATGGCCACGAGTACTATAATGGTAAAATTACTTTTTTATGATTGAATTTGGATCTTGTTTAAATAAAACTATAGAGCGACTTGTGGTCTATAGATATCGTCGTAATCTTCTTCACCCGTATTGCCGGACTATCTTCGCCCATTCCCAAGGGTAATTCCTCTGTATAAAGGCCAAAGTGCGGCGTATCTGACGGGTCTCCTGAGTAGAACATTGAGGACATGCTCCTCGTAGGACGAGGGGTGCTAACGCTGTAAAATAAATTACGTGCGTAAATATTATATGTACTTATTATATATATCACACTCGTTTATAATATATACCTAGTTGCAGAAATGCACTTCACTCTTTATATCTATCTATATACTCGAACACTGTAAGCGTGTTATGAGTTATCAAGGAATGTCTATTTAAAAAATAACCTATATAAATTCTCAGTACATAATCATGAAGTAATAAAAAAGATTGTTGTTTATTAGTTTATCGTATCTTTAAATCTTCGCGTATCTTTATTCGGCCATCACTTTGTACTTTAAAAAATGTTCTTATTTATCCATCTATGTCCACACGCCAAATAAAAAGGATTGCCACTCTGTAATTAAATCAGCGTTGAACTCAATGTCGGTACAGCGCTGTTGCAGTAAAGAGATTCATTTAAATTAAACCTACTTCAAAAAAATTAAACCCTCCAATCCGCATTGAGCCAGCGTGGAGGGTCATGGCCCATCTTCCTTAACCATCCATAAGGAAGGCCTGAGCCCCTGCAGTGGGGACGTTAAAGGGCTGGTTATGATGATTATGATGAAACCTACTTCAAAAGACAATAAATGTTTAAATTTATTGAACCTCTTTACATTGACAGCACTGTACTCATTGTTGAGTTCGATTTTATTACAGAATAAGTAGCAAAGCTCAGCGCCATAATGCACGAACCTCCGTAGCTGAACCAGTGGTTTGCACGCCTCGCCAGTTTCAAAGTGTTGCTATTTCTGAGGTTCCAGATTCGCTTCCCGTTGGGCTCAATGTATAAAATTAACTTTTCTATATTATCTTGGGTCTGGGTGTTGTGGTGCCTCGCTGTCTCAGATATTCCATAATACGAGGGCTTTAGCTACTGATGTTGGAATCTGAGCAATGTATCTTAATACTTATATATCCGCCCTCGATGTTCATATCTCTTTTCATATCTTCTTTTTGATGTTTAAAGTTTCTTACAATATACGATCAATTATATCACCTTCATCCCACAAGCTGCGTTCTTATGTTTAACTCGTTCAAGTTAAGATGACCACTGAGTGTCTATTCTAATTATCGTCACACGAAAATTCAGAAAATTTCGGATCGTTTTTATACTTTTATTATAATCATATCAGCTAAAATAGAATAGGGTTCAGGTGTCAAGTTAATTCGTACGAGTATGTAGAAGAAAAACTTACTTCTCAATCTTCTACCCACTGGGTCGCAAGGGCCTTCTTGCAGGGCACATCTAAGATGTCGTTGCATAGTACTTCTGTCGGATAAAGTGTGCTCCAGCTGGGCGTCCGTCATCTGAGGGGCGGCTAGGTTTGAAACGACCAATGTGCACAGCACGGCTAATACCACGATGGTCTGTTGAAAATATATTTTATATTTAACATACATAATTAATTCAGCATGTTCCAAATTACTTGAAAATAATTAATGACATACATTCATGTTTTTCATAATACGTTTACACAATTATCAAAATTTTCTAGAGTCAATAAAAATACTTTATTTTTACTAAAGTTACAGAACGATAATCACCAAAATCAAATTCGAAGTGAACATTTGAATTAACGTATAATAAATTTATAATTAGAAAAAAGTGTTAAAGTTAAAATGCAGTGCTCTAATAATACAATCATCATCATTACTTCATTAATTTTGCTGCTTAATTTTGCCTCACTATGGATTAACTTATGCATGAACACGCTGGTTCACTTCGGATCGGTGGGTGTTAACAACTGTAGATGTAGCCAGAACTTAGATTTTTTAGCCAAAGAGCCGGAATCAGCGGTTTAAAGTGCCTTCCGAAGACTGGACGAGCTCAAGATAAAAAAAAATTTGGTCACCCATCTTGTGTCGACCTGTACGAAAATTGCTTAGCTTCCGCATCGCGAATCTAATCTAATCTTTCGTGCTAACCACTGCACCATTGAGCCCTATTCTATAGACCTAATCTATATTCCCTTTAGTTTTAAAAGACAACTTTATTTATATTTTTATATTATAGATATACATGAAATATATCTTATAAAATGTATTATTCATATAAATTTTAAACCGTAAAAATACATATATTTTCAAAAATTCCCACGAAAGCGCTAGCTCTGAAACTATGCATAAGGTTATATAATCTCTCTAAGTTCTGATATGAGTAAGAAGACCGTGACGTCACGCGCTGTGTGCGTTACGTGACGTGTACGTCACGATCACGTTTATAAAATATTTGATTTTTCATAATTAATTTAAGCAACATTTTAAATATAATAAGCATAAAAGTATATTATCGGTAATAGTATGTTAAAACTACCAGAAAAAAAATTATGTATTTATTTTCATTTCCTGTCTATACGTATAAAGATAACTTTCATGAACACTCATAGAAATAATATTAAACAAACGCAATAAATTGTAATAAATACGCGGCTACGTTTTTTATAGTTATACACATAATAATAAAATCCCTACTATTGGACATCAACGCGTTCCCTTAACTAACTAAACTTTTTTATTAATAAGTTTATATTATTACTTAGTTTTCTATACAGTATACTGAAACTACATTAATGAGTAATCCTACTTAGATGAAAATTTGTCAGTTTGGATGCTTGTATGTTTGTTACTTCTTCACGCAAAAACTACTGAACGGATTTTAATGAAATTTGGTATATAGGCAATTTTTAGTCTGAATTAACATCTAGGCTTTTTATTCCACTAAAAGGGTCCCTATGAACAGAAGTACTTCCAAGGACGTATTTTTGTGATCGCTGCCTAAACGATAAGAGATATACGAATGCTTTCTAAAGAAAGTTGGAGAGCTTTAAATTATCTTTAAATATGTCCGCGATGGCTATGTCCTAAGATTTTCCACAAAAATAAAAAACTTCGTTAAAGTATATTTAAATTTTTTGTCCATCTTTAGGTATTTATTTGAGTATCTTTATCGAAATAAATATGCTTATCGTCAAAACAATTTAATGCAAATATAAATTGTCTTTAACACCAAATCAACTGAATAGTTTGGATTTTACTACATTGTTTTTGAGAAAAGAAAAAAGGCGCACTGCCGATTTTCTAAATACTATTTCATGTTTACATTTCGTATCTATTATGATTTAACAACTTTTTTTATATGAACTCGATAACTTTTATATTTATAAGGACTGTAGTAATGATATTATTGTTTTTCTAATAAAAATGAAGGAACACCTAATCAAGGTGATATTAGCAGTCTATTTACCCAAGAAAATTATCCAGATTAGTAAAGGGCTTTTGTACTGTCGGAGAAGGGTGAACACGATTAGCTGGATGGAAATACAATCGATTGAATAAGTACTGGGAATCATCAACGATAAGACAGCTACTAGAACTACCGCATAACATAATTGGCTTTGATTTAGTTGATATTGTATTGCACTCGATATTCAATATATCGAGTTGAACCTAACACAATTTAACGTTGAGTGCATTTTGATTAACTTCAATATCAAATCGAAGCCAATTTTGTCACGCGGTAAGCCTGCTGGAAACCATTGTAACGCAAGGAATGTTACGATAATCGCGATAAGCAAAATGTCAATCAACACCAACTCAGACTCAGCAGATTACTTACAGTAGTATATTCTGGCCTTGGTATAGGTTATTCCTTAGAAATGACATTGTCAAAACACCTGTCAGTAAGTATTTGTTGTTGAAGCAGAAATAGAGATACATCATCTGTGAAAATTTCAACTGTCTAACTTTCACGGTTCATGAGATTCAGCCTGGTGACAGACAGATAGTGAAATCTTAATAGGTCTCCCGTTTGACTCTTTGAGTACGAAATCCTAATAAACGACTGTACTTATACTAAGCAAACGTAGTTGCGGGCAAAAGCTAGTGTATATAATAGAACATGAATTTGAAAAAAGAAAATAATGTCTTGATGACATTATTTTCTTTTTTCAAACTCGCAGAAAAAGCGAACTTTTTTCGATGATACAAAATATCATAAGCATTTTTGTAATTAAATGACTGCAAGAGTATTGACGCTTACAGTCATTTCGTTTTATAAAATGAAATACTAATCCGATAAAATTCAGA